TTTATTAAATAATCATTTTGCAGCGTTCGAATTTCATTGAAATTTTAACGAACTAGGGAACTGGAGGAAAAAAGGTGGTGGAGCCTGTGAGGAAGAGCTTCAGGTAAATAGAACTCCCCTCCGCCAACTCCTGGGGTGCCTCATGCCACTCAACATATCACCATGTTTTTTTATTTGTCAGCTTGGATGTGTTTTTTCCAAAGAATGCAAGGATCCCATTAGTTGGTGCTATATTGCCTATTGCCAGACTATCTTGCTTTAACCAAACAAATGGAGGCCTCTAAAAAGGATGCTGTTGTAACCTAATTTTTATATATATATATATATATATATATATATATATATATATATATATATATTAACAAAGAATCACATTTTTGCCTCATTCCATTTTAAACATGGATTCCTTTTAATTTGTGTTTGCAGTATACAACTGCTTGGAACACAATTTAGGATAAGATGCAAAACCAGTGAACCACTGTAGTCACTAAAATGACTTTACCTTCATGATGCAGTTGTGTATAGATCATGCAGTCTCACTGCCTCCCCTGGCTGTGACTGACACCCTTTTCATTTTCAATTTGATGTTGACTTACTTTAGAAGTTTTTATATCCTGATCTGTAAATTTCACTTAAATCATGCAGATGGGGATCCTGCAACGTCTAGCAAACCGTGCAAGAGATAAGAAATTCTAAATTAATCAGACTGTGCAATAAAGGAATTGTAAATATTAGGTCTTTCTTTACAGGAAGTGTTTTGAAAGGCTGTGCAAGTCACCTGCAGGAAGGGCTGTATAAGGGTTTTATCTCCTAAATGGTAGAAAATTGTAGATCATCTTGGAAAAAGATTGAGTTCTTCAAAGCAACTTTTGCCAATTGGTTAACAGAAACTATCAAAATGCCCTATGAAGTAACTTGTTAGTCTTCATCTACCCGTGTAAAAACTTGTTCCATAGAAGCTATGGCTACTTCTTGGGCAGCAAAGGCATTGGCCTCTGCTGATGTGCTGTGGACATTTGTAAGGCTGTGACTTGGGAATCAATCAGGCTAGACTCCTTTTCATCCTCAGAAGCTGCTTTTGCGTGTAAGGTGCTGTCTAATGTTAGTATCCTACTAACACTATAGTGTTCCTTTACATTTTTATGAAATTGCAAAGGAATTGTACATTTTAGGCTAAAACAGTCATTGTTCTTTATGCTTACTCCCCAGCCAGTTTGGGGTTTTGCTATATCCCTATTGTACTGGTGCAATTAAAAACAGAAATTCTACTTACTGTCAATTCTTGGTTCCTTAGTATAGCTGAGTACAGATACATTTGATTTTTCTTCTTTTCTTGCTATCTATGCTGTGGCCTGCTTGTGGTTATTGAAGTTATGAGGGGGTGGGTTCCCTTTTAATTTACATGTGTAATTATAGAGGCTACTAGTTCGGCTCAAGGAGGAACATTCCTTCAGTACTGCCGGTATACTAGGGAAAAAAGATTATGCAGCAAGTAAAATTTCAGATTTTTTTTGTTTTTTTTTATCCTTTGCAGTGGATTCCAATAATTTATGATTAGTTTCCACTTCTTAATTCCAGTCGTATTTAGTACTTCTGTCGTATAGGTGACCCCTGCAGATGTCAGATTATATGCATATGTGAGCACTCACTCTGAAAATGTCTCCCCGGCCTGCTACAGTCGAGGTAGAACCCAGTGAATATTGCCTATGGCAAACCAAAGAGGACAACTCTGGAACTTAAGGAAAGGTCGTGGTGAATATTAGCTATTTTTATGAATGCCGTTTGGACAAAGCTAGCAAAGCATCATGGGAGTTATAGTTCATGAGCTGGGAATCAAAACATTGGCTTTTACTGCTTTGAACTGTCTTTTTGTGGGTTTTTATGTTATTAAATCGGACTACAGTAAACTAGCGAATGCAGTTAGGTACATTTTCGTAGTTACCCAGGAATGTATGATGGCTTTTTTCCACTTCTTTAAATATGTGTTTGAGGAAATTACATATGCAAGAAGAAAATGTATGGTTTCCCCTGAATAGACGTTTGCGACCACAAAATTATTTATTTTGAATATTGTTGGAGTTATTTTTTTTAAAATAGTTTTTTTTATTTTTTATCTTTATTTGTAAATTTCCATTGTTGTTAAAGTCATAGAAATACTGTTTTCATTATACTCCTTAAGACCGCAGCCAAATGTACAAGTTGTGATCAAAACAAAACGTAAACAAAGCCACACTTATTATTTATCATTTTATTCAGGGGAAACAGGGCTTTCATTTAACATAAAATATTTAGGTATGAAACATAATTTAATATGAATAAAATATATATATAAAAAAAAAATGGGATAAAATAAGATTTTTTTAAAAAGAAATTCTTAGTTCTACGTGATATTTTAACTGTGAATGTCAAAATACTGTTTGCTTTTACTGCAATAAAATACACATATTTGTATTCAGCGATATCTCGAGTGTAAAACCGTACCCCCTATGTACAGGTTTTATGGTATTTTGGGAAGTTACAGGGTCAAATATAGCGTGTTACATTTTTCATTTTTTTCACATTGAAATTCGCCAGTTTGGTTTCATTGCCTTTGAGACCATATGGTAGCCCAGGAATAAGAATTACCCCCATGATGGCATACCATTTGCAAAAGTAGACAACCCAAGGTATTGCAAATGGGGTATGTCCAGTCTTTTTTAGTAGCCACTTGGTCACAAACACTGGCCAAAGTTAGTGTTAATATTTGAAAATGCAAAAAACTAATTTGAACGCCAATTTTGGCCAGTGTTTGTGACTAAGTGGCTACTAAAAAAGACTGAACATACCCCATTTGCAATACCTTGGGTTATCTAATATTGCAAATGGTATGCCATCATGGGGGTCATTTTCATTCCTGGGCTACCGTACGGTCTCAAAGGCAACATAACCAACCTGGCTATGCCGTCCATGTGATCGTGAGGTCCTCGCGATCACATGGCCCAGGGGGGCCAAAGAGGACGGAGGGGGGACTCCCTGGTAAGTACATAAGATCGCAGGACGTTCTATGCCACCCTGCGGCTTTTAGAGCCATCCAAATAAGGGTCTTAAGGGGTTAAGGAAGAAAATTAAGCAGCTTTTGTAAACCCCTATTACCATTGCTATAATGTGGTTCAGATCGTGATATACATTTTTCGTGCGAAGTTTTTTGTGTGTGTTTTTTTTGTTGTTTTTTTTTTTGAGTAGTTGCTCGAGATATTGTAGGGTTGTTTTGATTTTTTTTTTTTCAACAATTTGCCGCGCATGCACACAAGTCTCAGTGTTTCCCTATGGTGGAAGCATTCGATTGACTGAGATAATCAATCTTGATAATCTCAGACAGAGAGGTGAGGCAGCCACACGGAGACCAACAGAGCTAGGGCTTAAAGTAATTCTTAATTTTATAGAGACTCACCGAAGAGGTTGGGGTGTCACCGAAGTTCTAGGAACACAAACATGTATTCCTAATGTAATAGTGTTCCTTTACATTTTTAGGAAATTGCAAAGGAATTGTGCATTTTTGGCAAAAATAGTCATCGTGAAAAATAGTTGGAGAAATTTTTCAGTTTACGGTTTCAGCCTTAAGTTTATATTTTTCATCCTGATGAAGCTGCCCCATTTCATTGAATAATGTATGATCAGGGCGTTAGTCACACATTTTGCAGAAGTAATAGGAGTTGTCCGTCTATTAGTCAGAAGTCACTATTTTGCTGTAACACAGCAATACAAGCTAAGCAGTTGTCCCTCCTCCATTCTATGCACTTGTGTGTTTGTGCTCAGAAGTTAACTTTTTTCTATTTCAAATCAAGGTGTATTTAGAATAGTTGGAGATCCTCCGATATTAAACACAAAGTGAGAGTGAGACAAAATATCATATGGACTAGGGATGCACCGAAATTAAAATTCTGACACAGTCCGAAAATTCAAGATGCCCTTGGCCGAAAACCGAAAAGGACTTTTTTTCCCCCAAATGATTTTAGAATAGTTTTTTTTTTTATATAATTTTATTAATATTAGACTTTTTATTACACAGTGTGGGAGGTGGTGACTGAGGGAGGGGGTTACTGGTGACGGTGACTGAGGGAGGGGGTTACTGGTGACGGTGACTGAGGGAGGGGGCGTCTGGTGACGGTGACTGATGGAGGGGGCGTCTGGTTTCTGATGGAGGGGCGACTGGTGACAGTGACTGAGGGAAGGGGTAACAGAGTGACTCTCCAATAAGGGATTGTTGGAAGAAATTGTTTTATTGCTCATTTTGCCCCCTAGTTAGTCTCTTTCTGACCAAGTACAGTCTTATTTTAGCTTATATTTGTAAGTATATGTTTTATTCACATCTTGTATGTGTTCATTGCTCTAATCTGTGCTTTCACCTGAGATTAACTTTTACCAAGCATCTTTGCTTATAATGAACCCTCTCTGCAGGATTTCTCCAGTCTGGTGTGAGTCCTAGCGGACAAGATGTTTCGCTGGCCTACCTCTGTCACTTTTTCATTAATATTTAGTTATACTACAACTCATAAAAGTTTGTGTGTGTGTATATATATATATATATATCAGTTTTATTTGCTGCAATATTATAGTTGCTCTTTTTCATACAGATGCATGTAACATTGGAAGCCCTCCAGGCAACTTTTAGGCCTTAAAAATAGTAGTAATTGCCAAGTTTACATATATCTGTTAAAGGTGTGTTATATTATTTTGTGTGTTTTTTTTGTTTTTTTGTTTTTAAACCTACATATGTCCAGTTTTTTACTATACTAAACGAACGTTCAAATGTGGAATACAATGGTCCACAAATAAGAAATGTGTCTGGCCCACAAATAGGAAATGTGTCAAACCCAGCAGAGTAAGAAGTGTTTTAGAAAGCAGAAAAAACAAGTTACAGTAAGGGATTACACCAGGTTTTGTAGGTACTCACTGTGGCCTAACACGCAAATGCACGTTAATATGAAATGTTATTTATTAAATCCATCTTGATTTTATGTAGAAGCAGAATGGAGATCTTCCAGGATTGTGCACTAAACAGGTAATTGTAAAATTAAATTGAAAGGTTCTCCAATTCTGGAGAAATGTTTTTTTTTGTTTTTTTTTTTCTAAATCATCTTCTCCAGCTTGGCAATTCTGGCATAAAATGTGTAATTTTCGTTTTATAATTATATATATATATATATATATATATATATATATATATATATATATATATATATATATATATATATATATATTTTTTTTATTTATTTATTTTACATGCTTGTGTTATTTGCGAAGATTATAGAGCCTGGAGACTGATAATTTAATTCTTCCCTAAAGAGGAATTGATGGCTTTTTGCTGGTTACAGGGACTTTTGCACACAAGTACGTGAAAGCAGTGTTTACGACTGTATGATGTCTATAGCAGTAGTGTTTAAAGCGGCACCCCACTTGGAAAATGGGCATTTCGTAGAGAGAGAATCTTTATGAAATACTAATTTCAACTCAATTTAGATTTTACTGAAATTCCAACCCAGTCAAGACATATGAGACAAAGCAGGGACCGTTGGCTCTATATTTCTCCTCCTCACTTTCTTGGACTCAAGGCAGAGTCTGAGTCAATCTGGACAGCTGTCACCAGTGATGGCTGCAGGGCATTGGCTCTGTCTATAGAGGAACTCGTGGTCTTGCAGGACCCGCCATAGACCTCAAAGCTGTACTCTTGGGTAAACATCCGCTCCTGGTACTTGCTAGGAGTGCCCTGGCACGCTACCTGGGTAAGTAGTTTAACCATTTGGGAAAGGTTTGACAACTTTCCTGGGTCCATAAGTTGCCCCTTCTTGCCTCCTCACAATCTCATGGCAGGGCCATTTCATTGGTTGAGATAATCAGCTGATTTCTCTTAGCCAATAAGCTAAGACCTGCAAGTATCTTGGTGAAAAGGGCTTTGGGCTCTGACAAAGCTAGAAGCGATGTCCAGTGGACTGCAGGTAAGAAGTCAAACTGTTCTAAATTTCAAGGGCAATCCTGGCTCCATATGCACTGCAGCAGACTGTGGTGGTTATGATTCTTGGAGTGTTGCTTGTATCCATGTAAACTTATTAAATAAATAAATTTGGCTGAGGGACTGGCCTCTGCAGCCAATAAATATCCCCGCTTTTTGCCCAGCACTTACATCCTTGTTAGTGCTGGGCATTGACCAGGGAAAGTCCTGTTTTGAAAGGGACATTCTTGGTACTGTAGTGGTTATGGTGCCATAGACACAATATACCTGCAATCTGCCAAATGACTTAAATTTCTGTTGATACTCTTAGCCAATACTGTCTGAATTGGGTGTGATAATGTGTAATCAGGAAATTCAACTTTATTGTAAAACAAGCTTGAAAAAGTCCAATTACCGATTTTGTTTTGCCCATACTGTACACCTTATTAGAGGGACACTGAAGAACTGAGTATATGCTGGAGTATTTTATCATCTCTTCATTGTATTGGTTTTTGGGCAAAGCCAGACTCCTATGCCGGCAGTTTCTATTCCATACTTAGTGTAAACATTGTAGTTCAGCTGTATCCAACCAACGCAGAGCGGAAAAACAGCGGGTGTCAGACCATTTTGTTAACCCTGTGATAAATTGCTGGTGATCTGTACCGAGGGAATTATGGCACCTTAACCACTACAGTGAGCTGTAGACTCTAATGCACTGGCTAGGAAGTCAGCATGGTACCATCAAGGTGGGGAGGTGTTCCCAAGCAGGGCCAGTAACATAGGTAGGCTGGAGGTAGGATTGACTAGGAGCCCTTTGTAATGGCCGCAACTCTGGAGAGGAGATGATTACTTAACTCCCAAGGCAATAAAAAACCATTATCTTTGAATAATGACATTCATTGTTTTGGAGCATGCTATCTGTTAAGGTAAATCGATCATGTCAGGTTCTTTTTAAATGCATTTGTTATTTTGGATATTATAAGGATACTGGGGTTTCTTGTTGTGTTGCTTGTGCCAGGTAGAGTTGGCCGGCTCCAAACCTCTTAACTTGATACTGCTTAACCTGGAGAACAGGTACCCAACCTGCAAATGTGGAGACAGCTGTATAGGTTTAAAGGAATACCAACAGGTATTACTGACCCTATAGTGTTTAACCCACCATTAAGGTGGCTTGCCCCCAACTTTCTCCTGTTTTCTAACATCCGTCACATTATAGAGAGTAGTACATTTGAATTTGGTTTTAGACAATTGGAAGTTTCAGCTACATCCTGTACCATACATTTATCCTAACATTTGCAATGTCGTTTTTCATGTTTACAGTTGCTATATTGTGTTTTCTATCACATTATATTTTATCAAGGTTTTCTAATTTGTTTCACTTCTATTTGGAGATGTCTGATCTATGGCAGTTTGCGTACACCTAATGTGAGAGGGATTACCACTAAATCGCTGCATTTTTAAATTTATGGATCACTTCGGGATGCGTGTTAAATTTTTGCATCTGGCCAGAAACGTATATAGCATGAGCTCATAGCAATGCATAGTGTTTGGTATACGCCATCCGCTTTGTTTTATCACCATAATGAGCCATAGTTTACTGCTTTTATTCTGCTACATCACAGGCTACATAAATGCCATTTACAGTTTATCTACTTTATATCTTCCAGATGTTGAGCTGTTCAAACTGCTTGTATATATTGTCATATAAGTCGTGTGATACAAAGGAGGAAATGTATCCGTGTTGCCTAATAGTCTGTGTTGGGAGAGATTTATTTTAATAGATAGGAACAAGCGCTCACTACAAACAGGGTAGGTGGGTGGGCAGCAGTAGATCTGTGCGAATTCCCAAATTCTCACTGGCAAAACAGATAAGCAGGGTGATGAACCACCAGAAATAAATAACAAAATATATAATTACATACACTGAGATATGATGATTTCACAACTCACAATAAATAGAGCTGCTGAGAGCTCTGCTGTAATGTGCCTGGATGGTTCAATCCCAGTCTGTGGATATTTGTAGCTCTGTTTGGTGGTTCTATCAGTCCAGTATATATGAGAAAACACAATAGAGAACCACTACAGCCTATTGTAATTGTTTCAATGTCTATATCCTGTCCCTGTGGGCTTTTCAATGGAAACACTGCCTTTTCCAAGGAAAGGCCGTGTTTACATACTGCCTAATGACACCTTTAGTGACAGTCACTCAGACAGCCTCTAGAGGTGCTTCCTAATTCAGTGCTGCACAATGTGCAGCACCTACGTTCATTGTCTCCACACTCTGTATGGAGGTGCTGAAATTTGCCCATAGAGATGCATTGATTCAATGTATCTATATAAGTAGATGCAGATTGAGACATACATTTTCTCATACGCACAAATTGTCGTTTATTTTTTTTTTCCCTTCTTGTTTTTATATTTAAGTCCACTGAGCCTCCCTACCTTATGGAGAGCTAGAGTGGATACTTTCCCTAGGATCCAGTGGAGCTACTGTAATCTTAAAACTCTCCTTGCTCCGCTCCCTCACACACTGTTAGTGAGTGACTTCATATTCCAGATCCTGGCATCACTAAACCGCGCGCGAGGGAGCAGAGAAGAACTACAGAAAGAGTACTGCTCCCTCGGCTAGTTGCCGATCTGACAAACACCCCGGCACCAGGACAACATTTCTAGTCTCCATGGCAACCAGGCACCTGGGATTTGTTGAGCCCCGTCACAGATGCGTTCTTATTGCGTCATTGGATATTGGTCCATGGCTCCTTTCCTTAATTCTTTTTTTTTTTTTTTCTCATCTTTATGATATGCTGGAAGAGTTTCTGAAGAAAGACACAATTAGCCTCCGTAGTCCCCACTATCATAGACTTGTCCCTTTTGGTTTTTGGCAAAAATGCTTTTAGTCTCAACTGTGTAAAAAAAGCGCTCTGGGTCTACTACTAGGTCAAAGAATTCGATTTCTGCATTTGACAAAATGATGAGCCTTTGGACAGTACCAGTAGTTCTGCACTGCTGAGATCTGCCATGGAGATGTTAACAACATTTGGCGTTTTCTAGTGTTGTACGTCAGCGTTAGTGGAGTTGTTTTGTCCCTTATTGGTGGTAGTCTCTCCTTTGGTCCGGGCCCCTAGGTAGTTTTTTTTTTTTTGCTTGTCCTGATCCTGGCTTGATCTAAAAAAAAAAAAATGCAATCAAATGTGTCTGAGTGAATAGTGGATGTCGCCTAACAATGTAATTTGCCATTTTTCCTTACACACTGTTTGTATGTATATTAAAACTATAATAAAGATTCATATTTTAGAAAACTGTTCTGTGTAACTGCATTTTTAAAATACAAAATTAAGACCAGTTTTGAAACTGGGCAAGTTGAGGTAGGAATATGCAGTGTACAATATTTACCAGTGTTTGCTCTTCCCCAGTAGTCATGTGGTTCACTTTGACCACAAGGAGGTGTTTTAGTGTTTGTTTTGTTTAGGGTTTTGGTTTTTTTTTTTCTTAAAGAATTGGTTTTACTGAGAGGATTGTCATTGAACAACCACTGTCGTTGAAGGGCAATAAGAGGAAATGATTATAATGAAAGACCACTAAGCAAGGACCAGTGACAGATATTCCTAAGAAGCAAATGTTCAAAACTTTTGTTAAAAAAATACAAATAAAGTATATCTGAATAATTAAGATAGATCGTGCGTGTGTCTATGTATATATGTTACAGCCATAGGCAAAGGACTTGTCAAAATCCTATGAGAAGCTGTAAAGGATTTATCACAGGACTTTCTTAAAATTCAGTACCAAAGCAAATCCTGTTTAATGACATGAATTGCTTTGGTGTTGAATTTGTAGAAAAACTGCATGTTTAAAAAGTATAAATTTTCTCTAAAAGGAAGAGAAATGTTGCAAAATCTAATTTCTTTAATGTGACCACAATTTCGCCATGTACCTTTAAAAGTTGCAAAGAATAATTTGTATCTGTTGTATATCATAAACCGTTTACATTTCCAAATTGCAGACTCTGTGTCAAATGACTTGTACATTGCCAGGAATAGATAAATATGCATTTTAGAAGACTTGTCTGGTCCCTGTACATCCCTTGGCCTGCTTTCTAGTTAAAGGGACACTATAGTCACCTGAAGAACTTTAGCTTAATGAAGCAGTTTTGGTGTATAGAACATGCCCCTGCAGCCTCACTGCTCAATCCTCTGCCATTTAGGAGTTAAATCCCTTTGTTTATGAACCCTAGTCACACCTCCCTGCATGTGGCTTTCTTTATTGCAAGTTCTGTTTAATTAAAGGACCACTATAGTGCCAGGAAAACATACTCGTTTTCCTGGCACTATAGTGCCCTGAGGGTGTCCCCACCCTCGGGATCCCCCTCCCGCCCGGCTCTGGAAGGGGGAAAGGGGTAAAAACTTACCTTTTTCCAGCGCTGGGCGGGGAGCTCTCCTCCTCTTCTCCTCCCCGTCGGCTGAATGCGCACGCGCGGCAAGAGCTGCGCGCGCATTCAGCCGGTCGCATAGGAAAGCATTATCAATGCTTTCCTATTGACGCTGGCGTGCTGTCACTGTGAAAATCACAGTGAGAAGCACGCAAGCGCCTCTAGCGGCTGTCAATGAGACAGCCACTAGAGGGAATGGGGGAAGGCTTAACCCATTGATAAACATAGCAGTTTCTCTGAAACTGCTATGTTTATTTAAAAAATGGGTTAACCCTAGCTGGACCTGGCACCCAGACCACTTCATTAAGCTGAAGTGGTCTGGGTGCCTAGAGTGGTCCTTAAAGATTTTCTTATCCCTGCTATGTTAGTAGCTTGCTAGACCCTGCAAGAGTCTCCTGTATCTGATTAAAGTTCAATTTAGAGATTGAGATACAATTATTTAAGGTAAATTACATCTGTTTGAAAGTGAAACCAATTTTTTTTCAATGCAGGCTCTGTCAATCATAGCCAGGGGAGGTGTGGCTAGGGCTGCATAAACAGAAACAAAGTGATTTAACTCCTAAATGATAGTGAATTGAGCAGTGAAATTGCGGGGGAGTGATCTATACACTAAAACTGCCTTATTTAGCTAAAGTAATTTAGGTGACTATAGTGTTCCTTTAAATTTTACATGTGTATGCATTTTTATTATATAGTTTTATGGTATTCCACCAATATGCCACTGGCAAACTGCAAATCTGTGTTTACAGCTGTCGTCACGGGCAATGCATGTATATGTGCTTGTAGGGACTGAGATGTCTAAAAACAATGAGATGTTTGGTCAGTTTATACGAGCATCTGTTGTGGATCCCAAGCCATTGCACATCTGACATTTTATATATCTGTTCTGTACATCAGGAAGTTTCTGTTCAATTTTAACCTGAATGAAATAAATCTGTAAATCACATAGTTTATAAAATCGAAAAGTATAGTTACAGTCCCACATTCCTTGTTTTAGTGAAAAGGACTTTGTTTGTTGATGCATTGTCACACTGAAAGCCGTGAGAATTGTCTGTAGTTCTTCAATGGCTGAGGGACTACTTTTACACCATCCTCGGATTGTGACGTTACTTGTACATTTTTAGTAAATGGACATTTGGTTCTTATTTTTTTTTTTTTTCTTAATCTTTTCTTCAGCTTGAGCTATGGAGCCGGACACCCTTCCCATTCAGAGACGGAGCTTCTACACAGGCAGACATATGCAGCCACTCATCAGCTCCCTGCATACGCAACCACTCACCACCCCTCAGGTATGGGCTACACATTATAACAGACATTTCCCATCTGTGACAATCATCGAGACGTTTTAATGATCCCTCTTAACGTTGAAATTCCTTTTCCTTTAATGTCGTGCAAGTATGTGGAACGAGGCCTCCCCAGAACTGAATACATATAATTAAAAAATATAAGGGTTTCATGGTTGCTGCATTTTATTTAGTGATTGCTTTGCATTAAGAATTTTAACCCAAAATTGCTCTTTTGACTTAAATTGGCTTTGTCACTTTCTGGGATCGTTGCAAAGACCCCCAAAGGTGACACCTATGATCGGATAAAGCCAATTTAGCAGATATACTCCTCTAAAGCTCTCCGTTCTGGATTGCACTATCTTTTTTCAGATCCTGGTGCTTAATCTGTCAGGAGCCCCACATCAGTGCTGTTCTGCCACTCATGCAGGAGAATACAAAACAAGAGCTCTCTGGAGGATCCCGTGAAACTGCAGGATCCTCCATAGATTAACATAGACATTTTTTAGAATGTTTTGACTGAACTAGATTTGTAATTCACCTAATGGATCGGTTTCTTTGTTTGCCTTTAGGTCTGTCTGGAATTTTTGACACCAGCCTTCATGTGGCCGGTGGGAACACTACAGAAACTTCTGTAATGAACTTTCTCTCTGCCATTGAATCTCGGACTGCCCAAGCTTCATCAGGGACAACTCTTCTTCCGCAGTTCAGGGCACCATCATGGCAGACTGGTACGTCTACGGTTTGTCTATGTTGTCGGCAAACCGCCCAACAGCATGATGCTGCGCAGCATCCTGCCTAGAGTTCATCATTTAGTCCTATAATGATTGGAATTATATTGAATTTGTATTAAAATATGAGATTTACAGGCAATTCCTTTAATTAGCCTCAGCAGCGGACTCTACTAAAACCCCTAGTTCTCCTTTTTCTTTTTTCCTCTCTCTCTGTTGTTCAGGGAGAAGTTACAGTTACATTCCCTCACTCCAGTAAATACTAGTAAAAACTTTACTGATTTGAGTAACGCAGAGGAGAGAACATGAGAGTGCATGGGAGTTTGGGATTTTTCAGTAGCGATATTTATGCATATGACACTTCTGGGATTCATTTATGGCAGAGCAAGTAAACAGATTTGTTTTTTCTTTCTGTTTATTTAATTTTCTCTTGTAGTTGGCTAATCCAAGGCCTGTGCAGAATCTCACTAGTCACCATTCCTCTATCAATTACAAATGCTTCGAAGTGCATTTATTATTAACAAAATGTCCTGCTGATTAAATCTGAGCCAAGTTTTTTTTTACAAAAAGCTGATTTATGCAATATATATATTCAAAAACTCAAATCTGTAGATAGAAGAGTATTTTTTCTGAGTGGAGTATTGTGCAGGCTTGAAAATGAAATTGCATGTAGGCTGAAGAAATGAAGAGGGGGGGCAGGGGCTGACTAAGGGGGCAGGAGCTAAGGAGGGGGGGCAGAGGCTGACTAAGGGGACAGGGCTGAGGAGGGGAATAAAAACTCCCCAGCGGGCCTGTGAGAAGAGCAGTGGAAGTCACGCCCCCTCCTCCTGACATCATCAGGAGAGGCCGGCCGACTCCATTGGCTGCAGGAAGAGGTAAGTTGAAAAATCTGAGTCCTCAGCCAGAGGCAGTGGATTCAGATGTTTCCTTTTTTTGCTGGATGTGGCTGGCCCTGGCGGATTTAGGGCGGCCAGGGGGGCAATTGCCTCACTGCCCCTCTTCCCAGTCCGCCCCTGACGCAGATATCCTCTGTTCTTTCGTCCATAGCTGTGCCAGCAGCAAACCGATAACCTAGTTTTTATTAATTGTTATTCACCCACAGCAGGGCTGCCAGGGATTGCTTAGTGCGGAGTTTGACTTGCTTATTAAATAATATTTTACTTGAATAATACGTGAATAAACACAGAAATATGGCCACAGTCACCTCATTTTGAATCATTGGCATATACCTTGTACTAATTGGTTCATGTTTGCTTTATTTTTGTTCTGTTTTCAAATGTAAATTGCTGAAAAGTATATGTGCATGAAATAGTATTTTAACCTGTTGTTTGCTTTTTTCAGGCATGCATTCCTCAACCGCTACAGAACTGTTTGTTACGGGAGCACTGCAAACATCTGGAACATTTCCAACCTCTGCACTCTCAGCCTATCAGCACCCAAACACATTTAGCTCCAGGAACTTTGCCACAACCCCATCTTTGGCCCTCTCAGACGGTACCTTCAGCGCTACAACAAATGGTCTACTTTCTCCCCATGACCCTTTGCTTCAGATTAAGACATCGCAGACCCCCACCGCTTTGACTTTTGAACGGCTTGGCAGCGCTGTTTTAAGTACCAGCATCCCACAATCATCAACATATCGATCTGCCCAGGAGTCTGCACCCCATCTCTTACAGCCTCAGTTCAGCTTATTGCCTTCGGCACTTGGCGGGACACAGCAAACTGCTCAGCCATACAGTACGTCAGTTTTTACTGGCTCCACTGCCTCCATAGAAAGAGCACTTCAGAGGGAATGTAGTGTTATTAAACACCATCAGAGGCCTTCAAGTACACAGTCTGTTCAAGGGCAACTATCTGGTACTCAGCATTCCTTAACCAATTATTTAACAAATGCAAGTGGAGCTTCTTTGCAGGATGCCACAAGGCAGTCTGCTCTATTATGCTCTCCACTAGGGGCACTTACTCAGGTGAGCAATGGGGCAACAGTGCAGAAAACGTCTCAAGTTTCAGTGGAGTTATCTCAATCTTATCCATCTGTTATCCCATCTCCCGGTTACCCTCCTTCAATCTCAAAATCAAAAAACTGCCCTACAAAGGCACCTCCAAGGTCTTCGAAGACCCCAAAGTCTCAGAGTGTTTCTCCTGGGCAATCCCAAAGTTATACCAAGTCTTCACAGAACCAGAGTTCTGTCATTTCAAGCCAAGCACAAGTCTACTCCACGGCACAGCTACCCAGTCTTCTGTCTGTAAGCCAATCTCCCAGCTATGTTTCAACACAATCACCAAATCTGCCATCTGCTAGTCAATCACAAGTGTTTTCTACCATGAAAACTGAGAAGCTGCCTCCACTGTACAAACCACTCACTTCATTCTCAAGCCAGTCGCAAACCATAACTTCTGGCAGCCAGACACTAACTTTTTCATCAGATCAGCAACTTGCTCTGTCTTCAGTTTCAAGCGAGAGCTACTCTGATCAAACAAGAGATTTGTCCTCCGCTAACCAGTCACAAAATTATTCTTCCAGTAACACTCAGGGTTTAACTCCTGTTAGCCAATCACAAGTTAGCTATTCATCTCAATCGCAGGTGATGTCACCCGTAAGTCCTTCAGACAGTTACACTTCAGGACAAAACCTACCACTGGCTTCACCATCTCTTCCATTTTCTGCTTCCTCGCGTGGTCAGAATTTGTCTGCTTCGAGTCCAACTCAGAATTACATTTCTATGCATTCTTCACAGAACACGCAAGGTTCAACTTCTCCACAGTCCCAGAAGTTTTTGCCAACTGTTCAGTCTCCATCTTTTTCATCCCCATCCCATTCACAAACTTTGCAGAGCGGTAGATCATCTACAGATTCAAAGTCCTATGGGAAAAGGAAATCTGAAACCAACCTCTATGCTTCTGTAAAACAAGAGGAGAAGTTTCAGATGCAGGACTTGCAGGCATTACAACAATCTTCTCTTGAGTCTTCTAACCAGGGACTTGGTGAAGGTGAAATGAGTTCACAGGAGACTGCCTATAATGTTTCAAAGTCTGATGATCGGTATTCTCAAAGTGTTATTAAAAGTAATTCTCGCCTCGAGGACCAAGTCCTTGGACTTCAAGGATCTAAAAAGGACGAACGAATGATCAGCCCTGTGTCTCACATGTCCCAGCATGTGAGCCACATGAATAATACACCTGGCCATGACCCCAAAAAGGCAACAGACTTGATACAGTCCACGCAGGTGAATGCTAAAGACTTAAGTCAGCATAACATGATGCACAAAGTGCATGATACAAAGATGCAGGAACAGCAGAGCACATCTCCACAGATGCAAGCTGCGTTAAGACATTCACAGCATATCCAGCTACCTGTTACACAGGTACTTCTAGAGTCAGGCTGTGATTTGATGTTCCAGCAGTCTATGTTACAGGCAAACATGGGACAAGCAAAGGCTTCTGTATCGATGCAGAGGATTCAGAGTCCTCAACAGGTAACTCAGCAGTTTCTGCAAATGGATGGACATATCATCCAGAGCAACGGAGGGCAGTCTCAGCAATCCCTCCACTCTCAAGGTTCAGAAGTAATAAAAATGGACACTTCAGATGGGAAACACCTGCAATCAAATCTGCACGCAAAAGATCATTTCAACCCAAGAAGTCGGCTTGATTCAAAGAATCAGTTTGATTCGCTGAACCCAATGTGTTTCTCTGAGTCTATGCTGCTAAGCGATGAAAGAAATTTTTTGTCTCAGGTAGATGACATATTAGCGGCTACGGCAGCTCAAGAGTTTGCCAAGTCTTCTAGTGAGGACAATATGTCTGTTAAAAACGAAGATGCAAAGTCTCGCTTTCAGTCCATAAATGTAAGGCATGCTTCTCCAACTTACACACCCACAAAGCAGCAAAACTTAAGCACCCTTTCTTTAAATGGTGGCCAAACCGCAATAAATCTTTCCACCGTTTCTACGACTCAATCCAAAAATGTCAATTTAGATCAATCACACATTCAACCGCTAGAGCAGGATTTGCAGAGTGGGATGGGTTCGCCAGTGCTCGGGACCAGTCACGATGATCATGAGAAGAATTCTGAAATAATAAAGAAGCATTCTAATGTCAGTCGGGAATCAAAAGAAGGTGTTGAGGTAAATGATGAGGGCATGGATTCTGAATTCATGCCCAACAGCAAGAGCCTCAACGAAGAGAGTGCTGCTCCGGATGGAGACTTTATTATGGGCTCTGAGGCAAATGTATCCGGTGTTGGTCAGGCTCCCGGCCAACTTCTATCAAAGACTGATCCTCAGGTGAGTGGGAAATACAGTAACCAAATAGAAGACAACTGTCGAGATCCTACTCAGGACAGCCTTCAAAAGATGAAGGCAAAAGATAAAACGCTAATGAAACATTTTGCAGAAGATGAAAATCAAAATCAGAAGCAAGTAAAACGGAATGTACAAATGAAACGTCCTTTGCCTAAGGGTCCAGAAGCGTGTATGCAATATTCCACTCATGCGTCTGAGGGTTATTATGATACATACCAGCACCAGGAAAGAATGAGGCAGAAAATAAAGGAGGTGGAAGAGAAACAACCAGAAGTAAAAAGCGGGTTTATAGCATCTTTCTTAGACTTTCTAAAAACGGGACCAAAACAGCAGTTTTCAGCTCCTGCTGTTCGTGTGCCCAACAGAATAAGGAGGTCTTGTACTCCAGTAATCAGGGCTCCTGGTCCTAGTCCTACTTCTCAGGCCCAGTCAGTGGGGGCCCCTCCAGCTTCAGATACTGGTGGCTCTAGCTCTCCCAAAAAGACAGAGGAAGAGTTTAAGAAAAATCTTGAGACATTGCCTTCGTTCTCTTCGGATGATGACGATTCTGTAGGAGGCAATAATGACCTTCAGAAGAGTATAACCACAGCTCTGTCTGCCTTGGATGAAACGTCAGATAGAAAGAACAAAGCAGGTGAGCGATTTGTATGTTTTGGGTTTTCTTATTTTTTTTTATTTTTTTCTTCAAATAAATGTGCGTCTATAGACTTAGAGCGCAAGTAAAGCATCATATTACACCTTTTACATGGAAGGAATATCAAATGTTAAAGGGACACTCCAGGCACCCAGACCACTTCTGCCCATTGGAGTGGTCTGGGTGCCAACTACCACCACCCTTAACCCTGCAAGTGTAATTATTGCAGTTTTTATAAACTGCAATAATTACTTTTCAGGGTTAAGTCCTCCTGATAGACAGCCACTAGAGGGACTTCCGTGTTCTTAGAACACAAAAAGTGTTTTAAACGACGCTGGACGTCCTCACACTATGCATGAGGACCTCCAGCGTCTCCGGAATCACCATGGGAAAGCTTTGAATAATGCCTTCCTATGGGGAGGTCTCATGTGGGCGCAGCCATTGCTGCACATGCGCATTAGGTCTCCCCCACCAGCTGACGGCGGGGGAGGAGCATGGGCAGAGCCTAACCCAGCACCGAGGAACATTGGCGTAAGTCACTGAATGGGGTTTTAACCCCTTCAGCAACATGGGATGGTGGGTGAGGGATATGTTTTTCTGGCACTGGAGAGTCCCTGTAAATATACTTATATTTTCCAGATGTGCTGTAAACTTATGTTCAAAAGTATTATCATATTCTTTTTAGCCTTGTTTTTTTTTATGGGAATCGGTCACAAAGATTTGGAATTTGTGTTGCAGTTAAAAATGGCCAGCTGCACAATAAAACACTGACAGTCCTTTAAGTTTAACTTCTAGCTAAGATTATTATAATTATTGACTGGGTTTTAGCTGATGCTTGATGTCCTCATGCAGAGCATAAGGATGTCCAGCATCAGGCAACCAAAAGTCGCCCAACAACCTGGAAGCGCATCTAATGGCTGTCAGGTAGACAGCCACTAGAGGTGGAGTTAACGCTGCAAGGTAATTATTGCAGTTTTTCAAGAACTGCAATAATTACCATTGCAGGGTTAAACTGACAAGCTCGCTGCACCCAGACCACTTCAATGAGGTGAAGTGGTCTGGGTGTCTCTAGTGTCCCTTCAATAACATTGCATGGCTAAAACCAAGCACTGCAATCCACTTCATTTTATTCTGCACTCCAAACGGTGGTTTGTCTTTCCCTTTTTTTATATAATCGGAGAGAGACCACCACCACCGATATCCACAAGTGGGGGTTATGCCACTTTCCAGGCTCCGGAACACATGGGTGCACATCCGCTATAATTTTTTATACTTTTTTCTTTTTACTCCAAGGACACCGTGGGTGCTGCCCAATGCCTTGTGTTTTCATCCATTTTGTAATAATATGTATACTTATCAAGTTAGGGTTTGTCATGTCTGAAAAGTTAAATTAAAGTCAATAATTATTAAAGCCTCTTTCATTTGCACCTGGCAGTCAGCATACAGAGAATATAGAGAGGCATAAACGTTTATTTTAGTTTTTTATTTCTCCTCATTTGCAATGTTTGCTCTGGCTCTGCTTTGTCGGAAAATCTCGTGAAAACAAATTGTCATTCATTGTCTTATTTAAAGAGTTACTCCAAACCATTTTAGTGCAATTTTAGTTTTTGTTTTATAATGCAGAATTGGGCATTAGTTGTTCGGGTCCCCCCTTTAAAAACCTGTAAAAGAAGGAAGTCACTTACCTGGAATATAGCAGACATCGCAGCCTCCCTCTCTGTAGTCCATTCAAATGTTTCTCTATGAGAAGCATGTGGTTAGATCTTTCTCCCGGCTCAGAGCGCATGCACACCCTCAGAGCTGTGGAGAGGGGCTCAGCACTGTAGGGAGACAGACACAGCAGGGAAGGCTCAATTGAAAGAGAGATAGGAGATCAAGGATTACACCTTCAGTTGTGCTGCTCACCACGTCTCTCTCCAGCATGCATTTTACACAGAATGAACATTAGACTGTTCTTGGCTGCGTACGTCACGTGTGCTGGAGGTGTATTTAGCCAGTGATACAAAAGTGTAGATGTTTCTGAATGTACAGTATTTTAAGCAGAAAAGCTGTATAAACAGATTCCTACCACCATGGCCACTTCTAAAAGCAGAAGTGGTTATGGTGGTTGACGTAACCCTTCAGTTGTGTAGATTTCAGATCATTGACAGATCACCCTGCAAGTGCAGTCGTTACACAGGCATATGTTTTTGTTGTGGGGCACATTGACAGGGCAAGTAATTTTGATAAAGGTGACCTGTGACTGGACTATATTTACTATGGTTTTGTTTGTGTGTATGTTTGTAGATATTTAAATTTTTTTTAAATCTCCAGGAATAGACGGAACCATCTAACATAACAAACATAGGGCAATATTGAGTGAGCACCAGAATTATATTTCTTTAATTTTTACTTATATTTATATTTATTTATTTTAGTTTTTTTATGTCAATGTTTGAAGACAAACCGGAGTCCTAATATATCTACTGAATAGATGCGTTGTAAGGGTATATATTTTCTAAATCCCGATACACATTTTTCCACTGGTATTTTGAGTGTTTCTTTTACACATTGTATACCTGAAATGTGTCTTGCCAGTTTATGTTGGTTCTATGCAAAGTAATCTCTTTCAGCCACACCTTCTCTCATGCCTTAGTTATTGACATTGGCAATGCCGGGACTGTAAACATTTGCATCTTTAATATAGTCCGAGTTACTCAAGCTATGAACTAAAGTGGGAATTGGGGAACTTTTCTTTTTGGCTAAGCACTGCAATGTACGTCCTGATAACCATGTTTTTCTAAAATACTTGTGGGGGTTCTCTAAATCACATTATATTAACCTCAGCCACCTCAACGCTGTTTTATTAAAATAAACTTTTCATCGATGAAAGGATATGGATTCTTAGTTAATTGAAGTATATTTAAACTCATCCTTTTTATTCCTTTAAGTATATGACCGGATCCCTCAGCCAAATACATACACCTTGGGACAGACTCTGTTTGGAAGCCCCTCTATGGTCTTTCCTGTTTCACTCCCTGCACAATGCAGTGGCATCATCTGATTGACTGACTGTCAAATTCAAACACTGTCAGACCGAGGTGCCTTTATGTGGCTGAAGCATTCTGTCACATACTAAAGGTGTGGATGGGATTTTAAATTTTATTTTTTTCATATACTTAATGAACCAGTGAACAGTAGCAGAATACGCATATGGGGAGTTTACAGTAGTGTATCCATAGTCTGTTAATTTCCCCAAAATAAAACTAAAAATTTTTTTTTTTACTATTTTGACAGAGGTTTTTGATATAAAACGGTCAAATTAAAAAGTGTCAAAATACTCATAAAGATCATATGGGGATGGACTTTTCTCTATACTTTTCTGTGGTAGTTTTGGATTTTGTGACTATTAAATCTTTAATCTCAAAATGCTAAATTTGGCAAAGTTTTAGATTTAAAACCGTAATCCACTCCTTACAATATTTGTGGACACAACACACTCACACTCTAGTCTAAAAGGCAGTGTCTCTCCCTCTAGTCTAAAAGGCAGTGTCTCTCCCTCTAGTCTAAAAGGCAGTGTCTCTCCCTCTCTATAGTCCAAAAGGCAGTCTCTCTCCCTATCTCACTCTTATTCCTCCCCCCCATCATGGGATTAGGCAATTTACAAACTTGAAGTACTTTTAATTCAGTAAAGCTGGCGTATGTTAAATATTCTAATGTTTTCCAATACCGTTTTTTTTTTTTTTTTCTGTGTGTTTACTTTTAACGTGTTCTACTATTTACTTTATTTAGTTTTTTCTCCAGAAGCAGAAAAGGCGGGAGCATCCGGTAAACAGGAATCCACACCAGTGTCTTCCCCAAGGAATGCTCAGGAACAGTCTAAAGCGTCAGATTCCCTCAAACCAGCCCCGTCTGACCCCTCCCAAACTGAGCAACTGGCTAAGTCACAGGAAATGGTTGCAATTGAAGGATGCACCGATGACGAAAATGAAAGTGGCGGAGAAGGGATATACCGAGAACGTGATGAGTTTGTTGTAAAGATTGAAGACATAGAAATGCTCAAGGTAATCATTAATTCCGTGTGTGTGCTTGTCTGTCAGAGGGTTTTACTTACTCTCTGTGATCATACATTGCATACACCTGCCATAAAGCCAATGTTACCCCATTTGTGGCAGGTTCTATTCTAACAACCCGATGCCTGTTCTTATGACATTAACCCACTTACTTAGGAAATCGTGGCATTTTTTTTTGTGTGTTTTTAGTTTTTTACAAATGAGACTGCAGGAACAAACTTTGCACTAAAACCAATACATTAAGTTGTTGTGGTTCTGATGTTTTCATGTCCCTTAAAAGACGCAGAATGAACCACACGTTTAGCAAGAAATGTAAATTCAGCAAATCTGCCCAATCTGAGAAACCTGACCAGTTAGTTACTCACTCAAACCTTTACACAGGAAGCTTTGCGTTCAGGCAAGGAACCGCCAGCTATTTGGAAAGTTCAGAAGGCTCTGCTCCAGAAATTCATCCCTGAAATTCGTGAAGGTCAAAGATCATTTGCTGCTACCAACAGCGTAAGTAGAACAACTTAAATATTGTGTATCAACATACAAGACCACACACGTTCTTAGCATAAGAAAAATAGGAAAGTATACAAAGGACAATGCAGTTTAAAACCATTTTGCATACACATTGTTACATAGTAATATACGTTGCCAAGACTCAAATCCATCAATTTCAACCGTTAATACCGGATACAAAAGAAGTTTTAAAAAAATGTCAATTGAAGCTTTCCATTTATCCACAAAAAGTGAAAAAATCCTTCTTGACTCCATTCTGGCATTGGATTTCTCCTTAGATCAACACACTCTCATATTAATTATATCCTTGAATATTCTATTTCTGAAAAGAAATATTTAGACCTTTTTAAAAATAATCTATGGAACTGATAAAATAGCCTCATGTTTGTGTGTGTGTGTATATATAAATATTATATGTGTATTATAAAAAAACACACAAACAAAATATTCCTCCCATAAAACTTACTCATATGTGCTTTGGTTTTCTTTGGTTAGAAATAAATAAATAAATAAACTTGCAGATTAACCAGTTGGGTATCGACTATGAGCGAATAATGTCAGCAAATCACTTAATGATTTATTTCCCCATCAATATAATTCATAAAAGTAACTTTCTTTAAAAGACTGGAGCTGTTGGTTTATAGTGCACTTTGCATATGGTTAACAAAAATCTGCAATGAGTGTTACTTAAAATCTTAACTACACAATACTTCCACATTGGGGCGACTTCACCACACCATGATATCATGGATGTGCTTAAACATTTTACAGAGAAATTCCTTAAACGTGGATGTACGCTCAAGTGTTGTCTCCAACAATGCTTTACATAGACATCTGCTGTGACTGGTGTTGCCAGACAAAGCAAGTAAATGAAATAATTATTAATTTATTAAAAAAAATTATTATAACCATTAACTAGATTTTGGTTAGGGGTTTAGTTTTTCTTAAATTGGGGAAGATATAGTTCCTCTCTTTAAAGGTGTTCTTGTCCAAAACGTATGTGACTTGAGTCGGCAACAAAAATACTTTTTTTTTTTTTTTTATCTATTCTATCTAACTGTACTTGTGTTTTTAAAAGTGAAAGATATTGTAATAATAATATTTTAATTTTCTGTAGTATCTTGGCTATTTCGGTGATGCAAAAACAAAATACAAACGTGTTTATGTGAAGTTTGTCGAGAACACAAACAAAAAGGAGTACGTGAGGGTTTGCTCTCGAAAACCGAAAACCAAAATTGCTCCACCTGCAAGGTATTTTCATTTGTTTTAGATCTTCTGAAATCTTGTTTGTGAGATTGTGCCTAAGTTCTTGAAGAATTTTCACATAGACTACTATGCTGATGGGTAATTGGTTTTGTTAAAATGTGTTGTTTGTGTGTCTGTGAAATCATTGTGATATTTTGTTCAGTTGTGTGCACTGAAAGCTCAGAATTCTAATTGATCTAATGTAATTGAATGTAGTGTCTAAATTCTAGGGATGTGTGGCCTTGTGGTGAAGTAAATATGGGAAATAAGGGGTGCGCCAGAGAGACTTTATATAAAACAATAATAACGGATAGTCCAAATAAAGAGTCTTATCTAAAATGCTCTTATTGGAGTCACAGAGTCTATAAGGTGCTTGGTCAGGAACAATGTCCTCGCTGTCCTCATCCGTGTAGATCCACTCATATGCAAGAGATAAAACAAATAGAGAACCAAATAGTGCAATAAGTCCAATAATAAAATAAATAAAATATAAAAGGCTGGTATAAAACTCACATGTACAAGAGCTATAGCTAGCTCTATTGTAAAAGGCGTACAGCGGTACAATCCCCGCTTATGGGATATGGGGTAAACTTCCTCCGTCAATGGTATGTTTGACACTCAAATAAAAAGAGACAACCAATAGTGCTCACTGGATAAAATAATGGAAATAAAATATATAAAATGGTACTCACAAGGAAGGAGCAGACCAACTGCTCCTTGAAGATAGCGCTGGTGGTATGATCCCCACCTAGGATTACTTGGAGTCCAGGGTAATAAAAATGCCAGGTAAAAAAACAATCTAAAGTGTATAAAAACATAAATGGCACAAGTAAAAAGTGACCAAATCTTTAATATATAAAAATACACAAAATAAAATATCCACAAACGCGTTTCGCCAATACGGCTTTATCAATATGGAATAAGGACCTGATACCTGGCAAGAAAGGTTTAAATAGCAGTTCAAATCTTTGAAATTGGTGCCAAAATTAGGAACAGCCAATCGGAATCTTCGTTATAAACAGTCAAGTTTAAACATATAAAAACAAAATTTTCTTAGTAAATATGTAACCGCTGGTGGTTCCCTTATTTACCACTATAATGTCTTAAAGCATAGAACTTAGTAGGGCTAACCATACAGATATCTTAGCCATAATTTTATATAGTGTAAGAGATCCTCTATTTAACATATATAAATAATTGAGAATACAATATAAAATAAGGATTGTCTTGGAAGCAAGATTGTCTTTTGGATATTTATTATATAAAAATATAAAATCCATTATAGCAGAGTTTATAAGATTAAATTACATGCTTGCAAATATCATTAATAGGTTAACATACCCTTCTGAACATGTCATCATGTCAGCCTCTCTGTCATTTTAAGATGGAGCAGCGTCTGTCTCCAAGTCTCTCCTCTGTGTCTTAACATTTAAAAGTACACCTATTTATACCTTAGGTGTCTCCATTCTAAGGTTACTGTAGTTCAAATATGAAAAAGTAACACTTCTTTTACTTTATTCAATTTAGGACCTCCCTTAATTTGGCAAACATACAAGGCCATAACTAAAGGGTGTATACGTCATGGAAATTTTCCTGACTTAGTTCAAGATGGCATCTTAAAGTCTGAATAGGTTATCTGTTGTTTATACTAAGTCGTAAGTGTACAGTCGCGGGAGATTCCAGGATTTGGGGAAGTTCCATTAACTTGGGGTTACCACAGTATATTGTGTACTGCAAGTGTCGTAGAATAGCCTTGAAGCTTGTTTATGCATTATTGTTATTGTAATTCGTCTGGGACAAAATGGCGCAAACATATTATGCACTGAGGTTATTGCTTAAAGAAACAGTTAAGAAAAACAATATGTTCCATTTCTAACACCTTGTCAGTTTGCAATATCTCTTAAAGACAAAGTACACAGTTTAAGAAATACAACATTTCATTCTAAAACTTTTAATATTTGCATTTGCCCGTAACACCCTCTCCATTAAACTGTGGGCATTGTAGCGCATTTCTTCCTTAAATTAGTAAACCAAAGTTCTCCAACTGTTTTTAGGTTTTTTATGCTCCCAGCATCTTAGATCATTGTTGTAACAGTAAAATATCCGTAGTGTGATCTTTGCCTGTAAAGGTGGTTGATTAAAATGAGCAAAGCTTTTGTCTGGGAAAGAATTGAAAAGAACACCAAGTTCCAGAGTAAGATATACTTGCATGGATCTGGATACGAATTGTAATCCAAAATTAAAAATAGTAATTGTATTTGTAATCCAAAGTCTGTAAAGGCCTGTAGAAGTTTACATTCCTTAGATACATTGCTGGAGGTTGTGTTTGTAGAATACCCGGGTATTAGTTATAGAGTATAGGTTGTAGAGTCCAGCTTTCCAAATATTTGGCTAGAATTGGTCGCAGATATTGATCAGCATCATCTGTTATCACTGTGGTGATGGCGTTGGTATTTGTCTTTGTCTTTTTTTATTTAGTTTTTTTCATGAAACATTTTTTACACCATTTATGATGTGTATAGATTGCATACTCTCCGATATTCTTTTACGGAATAAATTAATTGACAGCATTTCCAAGACATTGTCTTAAGTGACATGGATCCCATTATAGTAAATGTTATGTTGATACAGCAATTGAAGTGGATTCTCAGGAACGCCTCTTTTTGCGGTATTTGAATCTTTGTAACATCTCAGTAATAGACATCTCACTGACATCAGGTGCTGTTGTGCTAAAAATGTTACAGGTAAAATCTGTGGAAAAATCTTTACATTTGTTATACTTTGTATAATAATGATAGATGAAATAGTAACATAGTTAATCTTTCTAGTGTTTTGTATTAGAGATAAACACCCTTGTATATGATATAGATATATAAGGATAATTTGAAGCAGCAAAGTATTTACCTCCCTTGTTCACAATGGTATGTAAAATTACATTCTCTTTAAATGTAAAAAATACTCCTTTATTCAAAATCTCTCAATATATTTAGAATAGTTGCTAATTGGAAATATGACGTTAATTATCTTTCTTTGACCTGTTAGGGAGAAGACAACTTATTCCCTAGTTATTATTAGTAAATGTAATAACTACAGTTATTAGTGGCTTAAAATACCAGAAACCCCTCAAATATTGTCTTAGAAAACATTTTTTTTTTTAAACCAAGATCTGACAGCCATTGTGGAAAGTCACGTTTGTGAGATTGGTTGCTTAACAATGTGAATCTTAATTGTTTAAGTATATTTTTCAGCGGCTGTTGGGTGTAGCTTAAGATGATTAGAATTTTTTATTATTTCTAAAAGTGAGTTAAGAAAGCACTCCAATACAATATTGAAGGTATTTATATTTTAACACTACCTTTGTATAGGTGGTTTTATGTACCTTTAACCATCACAAACCAAATAAAATTTTCTTGGTATTTGAAAAACTGATAAAATATTTGATTACGTGTATTTTAATATATATATATACATAGAGTGGTATGGATGTTGAATTTATATCTTTGACATCTTTTCACAAGTTTGCAATAGGTGACCTAACTTATCAATTTCCAAAATAATCATGTATATCACCTGGATGGGTTAATCCATAATACTCTTTTACTTTCCCTTGACTGGACTTAGCTCTGGCAGACTGAATATTTTTATCATTATAAATAAACTTTATGATAGTTGAAGTAAAGTTTCTGCCTGTCTTTCAGTTCAATTTTAGCTGTTGAAGTATTTCACTTATATTAAGTGATTATACCACTCTGCAAACTTAAACGAATATAGAATAGTTTCTGATTTAATAAAAACATTTTACATTTTCTTCTAAAGTTTAAACATTAATTATTATTGCAGTTGTTATTGCAATCATATGATCTTTAACTATCATGATTCAATTATTTATAAGGGTAATTAGCTGTTATGCTCTTATACTTTATGTCTAATATATTTGTTTGTAGGCCAGACTGCAGCTGCATATGGTATTTTAGCAATAATCTTCAATTGTGTTTCAGATATTCACAAAGTCTATCCACCTTGGTAATTAACACATTATGTGTTTATTTTATACCATTAATTATAGTATCTCTATTATATTACACATTGTCACTGACACATTTCTGATACAGGGAAAAAAATAGCATGATTGCTTTAGTAATTATAATTTTCGGTCCATGCACCACATTCTTGGAAGTCCAGAATATAGCAAGAATCCATTGTCGTTTGATTCTATGGAGCCATTTAACGTTTTGATTGGTATAGTTATACCAAAAGAGAAAGGAGTACATCGGTAGATCACATCTGCAACAGAACCATTACAGATTCCTTGTTGTATCAATGTCTCTGTGTTTATGTTTACAGGAGTTCCTTGCTTTGTAGGTATGTACATAATATGTAGAGTTTAAGAAAAGCTGCAAATCGTGCTTTAGTACAAGTGTCCCGTGATGTCAGGTTTCTGAAAGATTTTGCTGGTCTTTTTATATTCCATTCTCTTGGCAGGGCATCTGCTCTTAGTAGGCCGGTATTGTTATTATTTATTAATTGCATCAAGGTTTCTTTCGTTAATTGATGTGTTTCTACCAAATTCAAATTCATATGCCACCAAATGTCATTGTAAAGTTCATTGTTACAGAATATTGTTCCAGGATGGTTTTTCACTCCAATAGGAAATCTATATTCCTCTTCTTCTGCTCCTTCCTATAAACCACTTTTTCTGAGTTGTAGGCAACAATCTGTCTTGTACTGTGAGGTGCTTTGATAGTCAATCAGGTTTTCTCAGTACCATGTTCCATCTTGAAAAACAGCTGGGTGTTGACAGTTATCAGCCTTTATTTCTTTTTCCGGTCATCTTCTGTCTGGATACATAATTGCAATGTCCAGAATTAGCATAGCACTTCTTTTCAGCATAAGAAGGCTGTTTGCGGTAGTCACTCAATGATAAACTATATGGCAAAGTCTTTTCTTGCATCACCTTCATAGGTGCATCCAAAGTCTTTCACAAACATCTGTCCCATCTTTTTCTGTTTTCAGCATGCTTTGTCATCATTGTTGAGTCCATTATTAGGATTTGTATTAGTCCAATCACATCTTTCTCATGTATAATCGGTTTTTGGAATGATCTCAATAGGTTCCTTATGAAATACCAGTGTAGGCAATCATTTCACTGTGAGCTGTGTCTCTCCTTATGAGATAGTTCTTGGAGGTAGTCCTCACGATCACAGAACTTGTATAGTGTACAGTCCAATTCAGTCCAGGTGCTTCCTGCTTGTTAACATAATCCCAATGCAGTTTTAAAATCACAGCTAGGGTTGATGTTATGATAATGCTGCAGATTGTAAGAAGGAGACACCATAACCAATCCTTTTGCTTCTATCTTTGCATTTCTTTCTTACTGTATTAGATAATGCAGGTTCAGTCTGTTTTCTCCAGAGTCTTTCTTATAATGATGTTGATGATTCATTTTCGTACATTCCATGTTAACTGTGAATGTATCACGTCTGTCTGTTCATCCTTCTCCTTTATATTTGCAGGTTCAGATGTCAGATCATGATTCAGTCTGTTACGTGGCTATGATTCTGGTGGCTTTTCTGTCGTCCTCTGTTTGTTTTATCTTGTCATCTTTAACAGCATCCATTGTATCAGTCAGTGGTTCTGTGAACGTCCTGGAAGTATTTAGCAGGTTGTAAAATATCAAAACTTACTGTTCTCTGTTGGCTCTGATTGTTCTCTGTAGTAAAAGTTATCTGAGTCACCCTCTCCAGGACAAGCTGGCCAACAGAAGGAAATAGGTGGTGGTGCAAGGCGAGGTAGGCTGGAAAAAAAAATTCCCTAAATTTCTCTAATAGAACCAATGGTTCTAAGCTCTCCCTGGTGTAGAAATATATTTGTCAGTGAAAAACATGTAACATTTCATATGGTGTCTCACCATTTATATCATCAGGTATGTTGTGAATGCTCATCTGTACCATAGGAATAAATAGATACCACTGTGTGGGGCAAGCAACTAGTAACTTGGTTAATAATCATTTAACCTCAGCATTTTCCCAGACCACAACCCCACTTCTTTGGGGGTGGTTGGGGCACTGAAATCCCAAAGTAACCCAAATGGGGTTGCCCAGTTTTAGGTTTCCTTTGCAGTAACTGCAGGACCACCATCCAAATGGATGGTCCTGGGATTATCAAATGCATACTAAGGAAGTGAGACTAGAAAACGTGGCATCAGAGGTTGCACTTCACACAGGATATATCCAAGTAAACCTGGTACATGCATCAACACATACAAAAACATATTTATAACCATGAGATGTTGGCACACTTCCAATATATAGTAATTCAAAAAGTATGTTAGATATTAATATTTCAATAAATAGTACATCAGTAATGTGGCAATAAGCAAATGCTTATGATTACTAAACACATGAATTACAGTATTTCCCATATTGAGACCATCAGTATTCCTTTTCAGGAGTCAGAAGTACATTACCTCTCTCTATGAGAGCTTGTCCTAGCCATGAAAAAGCTTTTAGGGCAAGTCCATCTTTCCTCTATAGGAAGAACAACCAACATATTACCTTCAATGGTTATGTAATTAACCCCTGTAAACGATAGGAGTATTTATGCGGATACCAGGTGGATAAGGTCTGGTTATCCTTGCAAGCATAAACTCTGCATCATGACTGAGAGATAGGGTATGCGATGTGATCCAGTGACCACAGAAAAGCGTTGGTAGACACATTGCATCAAAGTGCCTGTTAATGACCAACTACATGAGGAGAGGGCCCATGCTTTGTTATAAGCATGTCCATACACGTATTACAATGCCAGGCTTTCAGTTTGTTTCCACAAAGCAAAATGCAATTGTGGATATAAACTCACGACGTATCGTAAGAAAAACTGTTTGAACACCAGACTGAGATTTGAGATCAGTGAACAGTGGACCAAAATAGATAAATGAAATCCTATCAATTAATATACTTTCTTTATATTACTTTATCCTCTGTATTAACTATGAAATATTAAAGTTAAAACAATAACATTTAAAAGCCAACTTTTAGTGTGGATAGGAATTACAAGGCCGTTCATAATGTGAGATAAAGAACAGCTTTTTAAAACCGAATAGTCTGTGAACACAAGATGACCTTGCGCTGAAAACTCACTTGCAGGGGAAAAACAAAACCTTCTTTTTTTCTTTTTCTTTAGTAAGTTAATTAATTAATTAAACATAGTTAGAACCTCCCTCAAAGTCCCGATGACTTTGCAAGAAACATGTCGTCCTTAAATACTGGGTAAGTCTATTAAACAGTGACATAGCATTGTTACCCTGTGTATTATGTTGTCACAGCTATAATGTGCAGTATAACAAACTATTTTATAAGTGTTGGGCAAACTGTTCATTAAAAGCCAGTGATCTAGCGCGCTATAGAACATTTATTTATTTATTCTTTAAAGCTCTGACCTCAATCGGCAAAGCAATATTGTAATGGTGTCCATTGCAATCTTTTTAAAGATACCTGCATATTTAATTAAATATCCTTTATATGTCTTTAAGGCATAAAATATCTGCAAATTAAGATTATATACAAAAATGCATGTCCTGGGTGTTCCTGTGATTCCTTTTCTATCATTTATTTATTTAAAAAAAAATTTAAGTCTGGAATCTGATTTCTTTTGGGATGAGCACCCCTCTGAGCCCCCCAGTTTCAGAGGCTTCTTTGGAGGTGACCACTGAAAAGTATAGATTCTATAAAATAGATGTGAGGGGGCTTTGGACAGTAATGTCACTTTAATTATACTTTTCATATAGCAGATATGTGATATGCAATGTGTTTTAATATATCAGAGTATTATCACTTTAATTGACACTGCAATTTTAATGTCTGTTTAGAATATTGCAGGCTTGCAATATCAAATTAATTTTGCAGTATATATATTCACAATGCTCTTACAACATATTATTAAAATTAGCCTCTTTCAGAATTGTAGAATATGTGGTGGAACTGAATCCCCATATATGAGATTTGAAACTGTATTTTTGATTTCTACGCTGTGCCCTGATCAGTATTTATATACATAATTGCAGCAGCATATAGCTTTTAAAGAAGCAATCATTTCACTCATCATGTGTGGTTGACTGTGGACTTTTTAAAACCTACTTTTAATTTTTTTTATAAATCTGTTTCTGGCTTTGAGAGAGCAGGCTGCTGAATGCATGTAAATGCTCTTAATGCTTAGTCTCTATACATTTATTTATTTAATCGTATTTTATAAAAACCTAGTTTATGAAATTCACTGAGATTACATGTGTCTGATCTGATTACAGTCAGTAGTACAATATAATTGTTCTAATTTCCTTACTGCTAGTACGGTGGGATAGCACCACTGATTTAAGTAAGCTTTCCCTTTTAAAATTGGTGGACTTTAATCCTGCCATTGCAATAGACTAAATACTGTACCTAAGTAAGCAAAGTCATTATGTGCAGGAATTGTACACTTTAAATAGTAGAATACTTATGCTATTCTAGTGAATTGGGCTGGCTGCTTAACACATCATTTAATATCTTTTGGTCACATTTAAAGCTGTAAATGTATTTAACATTTTATTTAAATAAGCCTTTAATAATTTCAGTTTAAAAGTTATTAGAGATCCTGTATAGTTACAATTTTATTTTGCCCTGATTTATCTTACATATATATTATTTTTAATCATTTTATCAATATTTATTTTTGCAGAGCATTTAGAGAAGCAAAGGATGTATAACCACCTGTTGCCCTTTTTTATAGAAGGGTAGTATAATTTAAACTCTGTTTAGGAAAAAATATGAGCTAGTTAGCATATGTTATATAAAATATATGCTGCAGTGTACTGTATTGAATGTATTTAAAAGCCATGTCTTTCTCTTTATGGCTGTATGTAATAATGTTGTTCATAATTTGGAATATAAAACAACGACTTCTCAATTCCTTGGAATGTTTACATGTCTCTATCTCCGCAACCTTGGCTGGAAATTCCAGACTCCAAAAATAGTTATGCTGTTATAATTCCTGATTTTCAATCAACAGCTAGAGTAACTGACAATATGGAAAATATCACTGTTTTCTAAAACCTTTCTTATATAGTGGACATTAGAATCCAGAACGCAGTAATGCAATAATTAAAAATCCTGTCTGTCTGTTGCATGTATGTTTTCATTAAGCCATAATGCAATTTTCTTTGCATTCTTGGAATTAGACTTCAAATTTCATCGCTCTGTCTTATCACTTTTCTTTTGACAACATTTTGCATTAATCTTTTTCCTGCGCATGCATACTAAGCAGCTACAAAGAGAACATATCCCCCTGTCTGCAATCCACTGTCCTGGAACTAACGGGCCATGCTATGCTGGTGGATTAGGCATTTGTTCTATTATGATATTAGTTAAGATCCACAATTTCAGCATTGTATGCTAATTACGTTGTACCTGGCACCTAAACTCACAGTGCCTTGTTCACATTAAAACCATCTCTAATGATGAAGATCTCTCTCTGAGTCTGGGCTACAAATAGCTCAATAGATTCTTGATATTTCAAGACTTGTGCCATGACAAAGTATTGTGTCTTCTCTTACGTATAAGAGGTTACCTAGGTATTTATTTTATATTTAAAGCTTCCAAGTACAAAGTCCCTTCGTGGTCGCCAATTGTAACCGCTGGTGGTTCCCTTATTTACCACTATAATGTCTTAAAGCATAGAACTTAGTAGGGCTAACCATACAGATATCTTAGCCATAATTTTATATAGTGTAAGAGATCCTCTATTTAACATATATAAATAATTGAGAATACAATATAAAATAAGGATTGTCTTGGAAGCAATCGTTTTGTCTTTTTGGATATTTATTATATAAAAATATAAAATCCATTATAGCAGAGTTTATAAGATTAAAATACATGCTTGCAAATATCATTAATAGGTTAACATACCCTTCTGAACATGTCATCATGTCAGCCTCTCTGTCATTTTAAGATGGAGCAGCGTCTGTCTCCAAGTCTCTCCTCTGTGTCTTAACATTTAAAAGTGCACCTATTTATACCTTAGGTGTCTCCATTCTAAGGTTACTGTAGTTCAAATATGAAAAAGTAACACTTCTTTTACTTTATTCAATTTAGGACCTCCCTTAATTTGGCAAACATACAAGGCCATAACTAAAGGGTGCAAACGTCATGGAAATTTTCCTGACTTAGTTCAAGATGGCATCTTAAAGTCTGAATAGGTTATCTGTTGTTTATACTAAGTCGTAAGTGTACAGTCGCGGGAGATTCCAGGATTTGGGGAAGTTCCATTAACTTGGGGTTTCCACAGTATATTGTGTACTGCAAGTGTCGTAGAATAGCCTTGAAGCTTGTTTATGCATTATTGTATTGTTATTGTAATTCGTCTGGGACAAAATGGCGCAAACATATTATGCACTGAGGTTATTGCTTAAAGAAACAGTTAAGAAAAACAATATGTTCCATTTCTAACACCTTGTCAGTTTGCAATATCTCTTAAAGACAAAGTACACAGTTTAAGAAATACAACATTTCATTCTAAAACTTTTAATATTTGCATTTGCCCGTAACAAATATACAATATGATAGGCTATATAGACCTTGTTTGGCTATAAAACATTAAAAACGAAGATTATTTTGAGTAGAAATTACTTTCCAATGCGGTCACATCTACTAGATGTCATCACGCACTAGGCAACTATGTATTGAGAGAGATTACATAGAAGGGAACCTATGCCAGACACAATTGGTCTCCCTGGTGGTAGGTTTTCATTTTTATGGATTTTAGGGAGAAAATATATGACTGATATTACCGAAATTTTTTTATTTAAAAAGTTAAATTCGTGTTTATTTAAAATCCCCAAATTTAAGCCTTTATTTAAAAATTGGGTTAAAATAGCTTGTATTTGTGCAGTGGGGTCTGATAAAAGTTTTTCATACACATCTGTATCATTTTATTGTCTGTGTGCTTCTTCTATATACATTTGGCTGGATTGTAAAACTATCCCTCCTCCTTTATCAGCTGGCTTGATTACAATATTTTTATCTTCTTGGCGTTCCTTTAGTGCCAATTTCTCTGTATGTGTGAGATTCTGAGGGTCGTAATTGTTATTCTTATTTTTTTCTAAATCTTTTACAACTAATTTCTCGAACATAGTGAGGGAGCCAGACTTAAAATGAGCAGGGTAAAAGGTGGATTTCTCTCTGAGGTGTGTATTAATTATGTGATGATTGTTTGTTTGGGTGTGTGTGAGGGGATAAAATCAGATTTGAAATAGGATTTTCTTCACTTTTGTCTATAAAAAAATCTTTCTGGACAAATTTATTAACATCAAGGAAGGCTTCAAAAGGTTTAAAAGAGTTAGTTGGAGCAAATTTAAGACCTTTACTTAAAAGTGATATTTGTGCACTAGTTAAGATTTTTTTTGTAGTGAAGTGTCTGGAAGACCATGATGGTTGCATAGCAGATGAAAATTACTGGGCTGCAATAACGTAAGCTTTACAAGAGAGTTCCTTTTAGATGGAGCCGTATACACCATTTCTTACTTACTCCTCACAGGACCTCTCACACGAAGGTCAGTGGAAACAACAAGGTGACAGAAACTCCGCCGCCAAAAAGTGTACCCCCTAAAGCTGTGTCTGTGAAACCTAAAGCAAAACAGCCAAAGGCGAAGGCTGAACCTCCACCAAAGAAGAGGAAACAGTGGAAAGAGGAATTTGAATCTTCCCAGTCGGATTCCTCTCCGGACATGCAAAGTGATGAAGAAGGTGGGCTGCATTTTGCATTTTTAATTCTGAACTTTGTCAAAACCTGCACATAAAGCTCCTTTTTGTAAAATGACAAAAGATGATTCTAGTTATTGTTTACGTGCTGCACTATGGGTGGCTTGGATGTAATGCTACCCTGGTTTGCCCACTATGTCTTCCATATAGATAAGATCTTTAATCCTGCTTTCAATTCCGCATTGTTTTTTTTTGTTTGTTTTTTTTTTTTTTTAATTAACATTTGCTTTGTGGGATAAAGCAGAACTTTAACTATCCTATGGTGGATAATTCTTGTCATTGCTTTACCAAACGGTGCTAAATTTTACAGATTTTTAATTCTGTGTCGCCACAACAGCATTAGCTGGTTCGATTTTTATAGGCATATGATAGTATTGTGGCAAGTTGGATATGCATACTTTTTTTTTTTTTTAAGTGAAAAAAGTAACGATACAGCAAACGAGCTATTAGCAATATGGTTTAAGCTAAATTAGTGCGACTAGCTTGAGGCATCATGTGAGATCGACAGGCTTGTATACTTAGAGAAAACAGTAATGTACAATTCGCTTGCCGCGTTTTAAAACACACATTTTGAAATTTTACTGATTTATATACTGTTTTATAACTTTTGGTTCAAAAATGGAATTTCCCTAATGTACATGGGTTGTGAAAAGTGCATTGCTCATTGAGACAGCGACTTTTATTGTTTAACAATCATATTTTTCAGAGTTTGAGCCTCCTCCACCACCAGTTGTCACTCGCTTTTTGAACACACGAGCCATGAAAGAGACCTTTAAAGGATACGTCGAATTACTTGTTGGTCTTGCTTTAGATGGTGACATGGTACAAGCCTTGGAAAAAGAAAATGGTACGTTCTGAAGCAATATTAGAGCTTTTATGTAATTTTTACAGTCACCTTGCTTATTGTCAAAAGGCACGACGCACAAAGCTTTGTGTGTATGCTGACCATCTATTCCTTGCAACAGGAATTCTGTATTGTTACTGAAGGGCTTACAATATACTGGAACCTAACCCTGTGGTTGTTTTAGAATTGATTTTTATTGCGATGTTGACTTAAAAAAAAAAGGAAAATCTGAACTTGTGTAATTGTCACGGCTGCTAGTCTGGTCCAACACGCAGAAACTATGTAAACATATACCATTAACAGATTTATTTAACCAATCATTGTTAACAGGAGTAGTCCCAGAAGATTGGAAGTTAGCGAATGTTGTGCCCATTCACAAGAAAGGTAATAGGGAGGAGTCGGGCAACTATAGGCCAGTAAGCCTTACTTCAGTAGTGGGGAAAGTGATGGAAACCATGTTAAAGGATAGGATTGGTGAACATCTAAAAACACATGGATTTCAAGATCAGAGACAACATGGGTTTACTTCAGGGAGATCATGCCAAACTAATCTTATTGATTTTTTTTGATTGGGTAACTAAAATAATAGATTAGGGTGGTGCAGTAGACATTGCTTACCTAGATTTCAGTAAGGCTTTTGACACTGTTGCACATAGAAGGCTTATCAATAAACTGCAATCTTTAAGTTTGGATTCCAATATTGTTGAATGGGTAAGGCAGTGGCTGAGTGACAGGCAACAGAGGGTTGTAGTCAATGGAGTATATTCGAAGCTTGGGCTTGTCACCAGTGGGGTACCTCAGGGATCTGTATGTGGACCCATTCTCTTTAATATTTTTATTAGTGATAATGCAGAAGGTCTTGATGGTAAGGTATGTCTTTTTGCTGATGATACTAAGATATGTAACAGGGTTGATGTTCCAGGAGGGATAAGCCAAATGGCAAATGATTTAGGTAAACTAGAAAAATGGTCAGAATTGTGGCAACTGACATTTAATGTGGATAAGTGCAAGATAATGCATCTTGGACGTAAAAACCCAAGGGCAGAGTACAGAATATTTGATAGAGTCCTAACCTCAACATTGAGGAAAGGGATTTAGGGGTGATTATTTCTGATGACTTAAGGTAGGCAGACAATGTAATAGAGCAGCAGGAAATGCTAGCAGAATGCTTGGTTGTATAGGGAGAGGTATTAGCAGTAGAAAGAGGGAAGTGCTCATGCCATTGTACAGAACACTGGTGAGACCTTACTTGGAGTATTGTACACAGTACTGGAGACCGTATCTTCAGAAGGATATTGATACCTTAGAGAGAGAAGGGCTATTAAACTGGTTCATGGATTGCGGGATAAAACTTACCAGGAAAGGTTAAAGGATCTTAACATGTATAGCTTGGAGGAAAGACGAGACAGGGGGGATATGATAGTAACATTTAAATATATAAAGGGAATCAACACAGTAAAGGAGGAGACTATATTTAAAAGAAGAAAAATTACCACAACAAGAGGACATAGTCTTACATTAGAGGGACAAAGGTTTAAAAATAATATCAGGAAGTATTACTTTACTGAGAGGGTAGTGGATGCATGGAATAGCCTTCCAGCTGAAGTGGTAGAGGTTAACACAGTAAAGGAGTTTAAGCATGCGTGGGATAGGCATAAGGCTATCCTAACTATAAGATAAGGCCAGGGACTAATGAAAGTATTTCGAAAATTGGCAGACTAGATGGGCCGAATGGTTCTTATCTGCCGTCACATTCTATGTTTCTATGTTATACATAAAAAAAGAAAGGAAATAAAAGGACAGAGCGTAAACCGGACCTTAGAATGGCCGGACTAATACGCTAGAGATAGAGAATGGTCAAAGGGAAAGTCGAGGTCAAGGAAGCCAGAAATAATCAGAAACCGTTTAAACAAGCCAAGTCAGGGGAACCAGAATTCGGAATAACCAGGGAAAAGCCAAGATCAGGATACCAGGAAGTCAAATTCACAAAGATAAACGCACTCTCAGAAACCAGGAGCATTAAACCACGACAGGGCAAGGAACTCGAGTGAATTAGGGATTTAAATATCCCTCTCTGGGCTCTGATTGGTCAGGCGGTGACCTCTGAACCCAGAACGTGCGTGTGCGTCAACGTTGTGACGTCACGCGCACGTCCGTATAAATTTGAGGGGCGCGGAGCTTGTGATCTGCGCGACCACGTGGTCAGCACCATCTTTGATCTGGGCGCAACGCCCAGAAGACGCGGAGGAGTAGTTCCCGGCTCGCCGACGAGCAGGTGAGCTCGCAATATCGGCAAGGTTGTGCCAGTCGGGCGCGGCATGCGGCCGGCCGGGAGCTGCAACAGTAATTTTAACCTTTGTGATATTTGCAAAAACATAAATTGTACGCCAACGAAGCTGTTGCCTCGTATTCAGAATATAATCCTCACCAAATTCTCATCCGTGCTTAGATTAGGAAATATGTACCAAATAATCGTATTCATTGGATATCATAAAGAGAATCGCTGTATAAAAGGGATTTGGATTCTGCATATGTGTGCTCAGACCTGCTAATAGGCCTTCCCTCATTACAATACTGATGGCAACAGAGGGAATCCCTCTAAGTTAGGGTTGTGGTTATGATAGAGTAAGAGTTAATTCTGTGTTTGCATTAATGCTGGGTTAAGGATAAGGATTGTAAAGGGTTAATGTTAGAGGTGCTGTAAGCATAGGTTCCTGGGGATAGGATTAGCATCGGTTACCAAAAATTAATCTAGATTTTAGACATATGAGGCAATTAACAATTGTGACTGATTGTAAAACTGATTGTTAACCTACTTAATGTTGTGGAATACATATTATATTACAAAAAGGTGTGTGTGTGTGTGTATGTATGTATAAATACACAACAGACACACAGTGGGATCCTACTTTGTCTCATTATATGTTAAGCTTAACGTGTTAAAGACTTAAAATTACTCAGATCCAATCATGTAGGAAACCTAGGGAAATGCAATAGTCTGTGATCACACACCTTCATGTGCAACACAATGATCTGTTTGCCGCCCTTTACACCAGGGCTGTCCAACCTGCGGCCCCCCAGATGTTGCTGAACTACAACTCCCATGATTCCCTGGCTATCTGTTTCATTGAAAGAATCACGGGAGTTGTAGTTCGGCAACATCTGGGGGACCGCAGGTTGGACAGGCCTGCTTTACACTATGAATACACTGCAAATGGACTTTAAATGAGTAGCTCGTTGCTGAATCCATTAGCTGTTCCAGCCTGCCATCAATCCTATTTTTATTTTTTTTCTCCCTTATCTAAATATTGATTTGAATGGCTTTTTGACATGTATACTTCCATTACTTTGCTGGTAATTGTATTTATTTTTAGATGAAGTTCTGCTTCCTCATATGAGAAAAATTGAAGGCATGTTGAATGAAAACAGAAGACGTCTTCTAACAAAATTACAGTTGGATCAATCTCTTAAGGTAAGAAAAGATGCATAATGTGCATTCCATATACACTGATTTTAGGGTTTGTTTTTTAACGTTTTTGAGCTAACTACATTTTGATTTGACCAGTTGATTACCACACACATGATTTAGTTCTGTCTAACACAATGTTTGTGAATAATCTTACAGAATGCCTTGGAAAACTACCCCGATGTTGCAACAATTACTCGTGACACAAAAGCAAAAGTTTCTGTGTGCAAAATAAAGACAAGCGGCAAGTGGTATAACAAAAAAACCTTCCGACCAACTAAAACTGCTGCAAAGCAGTCACAGGTATGAATGATTGGGAGGGTGGTTTTAAACATGTGACTACCTTTAAATAAATTGAAAGGGGCTTGGTTATGTGGGGAACATTACTTGATAATGCCTGTATATGTCTTTGTGCACACAAAAATAAAGAATAAAAAAATAAAAATTGAAAGGGGCTTTTGTTGTGGACCAATCAATGTGTTTAAGGACAAACAACGATCGTTGGATGTTCTGCATTTACAGCTCCAGTTGGACTGTTAGGATATCACAGGTGGTTTGGGTTTTTTTGTTTTCTCTTCTTAGTATATCCATTCTCAGAGAGCACTTTCCTACTGCATAGTAGCTTTGATTTTAAAAAATTTTTATTTTTTTTAATTGTACATTTTTGTAACCTTTATTTGTTCCAGGAATTCACTGTAGACCCTGAGAAATCGCAGTTGTGTTCATTGTATCATGCACTCCATCATTACAAGTACCACATATATCTTGTATGCAAAGATGAGGTATGTTCCATTGCTATTTCCAGAAATGCATTTTATTTTAGATTCCTTTATGTATCACCTGTTAAAGTGAAACTCTAACATTAGAAAAGTAAGCATATTTCTAATGTTCGTTTCTCCTATCTAATTTAGATTTAGTGTTCCTTGGTAAAACTCACCTTTTATCTCTTACTGCACTAGTCTCCCCATGGCTGCTTCTCCACCCCTCTCTAATCTTTAATGATTTTCTCGGTCGATGTAATGTTTTTCCATAGAGTGAGCACCAATTGCCACACTTCTCCAACCTTACAGATATAGTATGACAAAAAAAATTAAACAGAATTTCAGAGTATTGAGCTACCAGCTCTAAATACAAGTAATTTGTTAAAAGGAATCCGCCTTAAAATGTCCTTTTAACCATTTCCATTTATACATAGCGTAACAAGATAACTCCCTCTAGAATGTAAGCTCATGGAGCAGGGCCCTCCACCCCTCTGTTCCTGTACGTCCAGTTGTCTGGTTACAATTACATGTCTGTTAGTCCACCCATTGTACAGCGCTACGGAGTCTGATGGCGCTATATAAATAATAAAATAATAACTGGGAGGCAGTCCTAATGCCATTTACAAAAAACAAAAAAATTGAACTGCACTCGATCCATAAATAAAGCCTGAGTGCAAACAATCCTGGGGCCAGCACCAAGGCCCAAAAAGTAGTTTGTCGTCCCTGAAGAAAGAAAAAGGTCCAGGCAAACCAAGGCTTATATCAGCATTTTATTGAACTCCTGTGTCCAGCGGCAACATTGTGACCCTAGAGTCTTTTTCAAGCTTGGATCTAAGCCTTGGAGTGCCTAGGCCTTTTTCTTTCTTCAGTGACTACAAACTAATGCCATTTACAAACCCAAAAGGGATTTAACTTAAAGGAACAATTAACATTTTAGCACAGTCCAGTTACTACAACCAGCTAAACGGCTTTAAAACTATCAACTATCTTACAATACTATTTTCTATTTTATGCAAACTTGAAAAAAATGCATTTTCTTAGGTCTCCATCTCTTTCTGTTAAAAAATATGAATAAAATAGTTACCTTACTCTAAACATTTTAATCAGTCATGTTTGATATGATGTGTATAGACTCATTGACTTATATTTGTTGAGTGATTATGGAATTCGGAAAGTTATAATTTTTATACAGTTTATATACTGTATATGCACAAACCATAAAAAACATTTAGATAATACAGACCAGTGAGTGCCAACATTATTCCATGTACATATATAGATGGTTTTGAGATGCTGATTGTCATAATATGGAGATCGCTTCCCAATGCTTCTATCTGAAGAAGCTTAGAATTGTCTGAGATTATCAGTAATAATAATAATCTTGGCCAGGGAATGAGCAGTAAATGTGGAGAAACAGGCGTAGTCAGGGCCGGACAGTGTCTCTGTGATCTCCCCAGCCGTCCTCAGCCCATGGCCATTGGGGTCCACCAGGCATTTGCCCGAAGGCCAGTCTGGGCCTGGGCGTAGGATAGAACGTTAGAAAAACTGATTTATTTAATGCTTATACAGAGGGACCCCGTAACTAAATGGATATAGATTACACCTAATGTTGGAAATATGTTTTTTATAACTGTAGCGCTCTACTTTGAGTCAAAAAAGTACAACACCAGAGACTTTATATTAATATGAAAAAATATATATAGTTCCTGGAGACTGAATATGCAAAAAGATTCCTTTATTCAAAACTCAATAGCAATGTTTTGGTCTGACATAGTAGATTGGTGATTCTGCTATGTCAGACCAAAACATTGCTATTGAGTTTTGAATAAAGAAATCTTTTTGCATATTCAATCTCCAGGAATGTAATAATTATCCTTTTTATTATTATTATTCACGGACTATGAAATGTTATTGGGTTTAAAAAAAAAACACTGCAATGTCTGCAATGTGTTTGACTGAACTCTAGAGAGCAGTGTTGTGTTCAAGTGCATGTTAAAGTAAAATATTCTTACTACTAGCTCAGTGCATTAAAATAAGCTGATCTGGCAGTTTAATTCATTTTATTCTATAAATGCTGTTATTTTCCATTTTGTTTAACTGAGGTTTCTCTGACAAGAAATTTTGGTATGGCACCAAATTTAAATAAGTAACTAAAAAAGGTGGGAGTATGGGACCTGATGCGTAGATATGGTATAGCGTCATTGCATAAAAAATAATTCTTCTAGATTTACATGATCTAGAAATTTTGGCTACCTTTGGTCACTATTCTGTTTTCTGTGGCTTCCAGGTTAACTCTGTTCAGAAAGCAAACCGGGATCTGAAGCAAGAGGAGTTGATACACCACTGTCTGAAAAACATGAAATGGGTGGAAGATCTTTTTGAAAAGTTTGGCGAACTTTTGAGTCGTGTGCAACAAACCTGTTCCTAAACCCCAGCTTCTACCATACTCTCCTTGCAGTATATTTCTCCCCAACAGCACTAACCTAATGGAAGAGGGAAGAATACAAATTCTCCGAACTCGTAGAAAATGTCAGACTCCCATCAGTAGACTCTGCTATTGAATCTGCAGCTACGTGCCTGCATCTAATCAAGCTGTGTCAGAAAAGAACATAGCCCGTTATTGCTTGGGCAGCAAGCACGTATTCATCCTGGCCTTTTTTTTTTTTTTTTTATTATTATTTTATTTGTATGAATGATTTTTCTATTTTGTAAACTATTGGGTAATGCTTTATTTTTATTTTAAAGGAATATTGATTTTTCTTTTCTTTTTTTTTCTTTTTTTTTTTCTTGCAAAATGATACAGCATGCACTAAATATAGAATGAATTTCTTTATTATCTATAGCGTTAACACGTAAAATGCTTTACTACAATTTTGTTTTTTGTTTTCCTGATTATGTAAAAGAAGAAAAAAACAGAAAAAGCACCCAAAAGGTTTATGGTGGAGGTACAAAAACAATATTTACATTTAGAATTTCTGACCACCACATGTTAAGGGTATTGTACATTTTGTAAAACAGAATTGGCGGAATGTCAGGTAACAGAAACCACCATGATTTAACAAAAAAAAAAAATATCTTAGAAATTGTTATGCTTTATGGACACCTTTTACAATATATTTTCCAGGAAACTGGATATGGAGCTGGTGCAATCCTATGACTTGCTTTTTTTTGTGTGTGTCAAAATATATTATAATGAGAAAAAAAAGACCTTAACTATTTTCCCTGTTTTGAAGAAAGCTATTTTCCTTTATACAGTGTTTGTTTTTTTGTTTTTTCTTTTCTTTTCTTTAAAAAACAAAAACAAAAAAAATCAATTGTACATTTTATCTCACTAATAGTTGTATTTTTCACAGAGAAAATATTGTGGTTCAAATTCTGTTTCATGGATCTTTGTAATACACGTCCCCATGGTTTTTCAGTAAATCCTATCCATTTATGTGTTGATTTCACATTGTATGCATTATATCTTGGGCTAGGCCTCTCCCCTAGACATTAGATGCAGTGTGAGCCTGCAAGTGTATAGCAGGAAACATTAGCTTTTACATATAGCTATTAGACTTTGCAACCATTTTCTGATCCTTGGAAATAAATTCCTTTCAAACTTGCACTTGATTAACGTAGCGTTGTTTAGCAAATTTGCAATGTCCTCCTTTCATTTTCTAGTGCTTTCCATTAATCTCTGGAGTAGGCCTGTGCTTGACAAGTTGATCATTAATCAAGGTTTAAATTGAAAGAAAAAAAAATGCCCCTTTTCTATTTTGGGCCAAAGTCATTGACATATAGGCTGCAGAAGATGGACTTCTACTACTACATCAGTATGTGTTTTGTCATTTATTTTGGTACATTCTGGTTTAAGCCATATACACAACAAGAACCAGTTTGAACTGATTTTTACACCAACAATCCTGAGCAAGATCTGCACAGTTATCTGGGACTATCTGTAGAATGTACTTCTTCTGTTTATACAGACTGTGACCTTCAGTATGTCCAGTTGGTGTTATTTCATTGGTGTCACAAACGTGCAATGCTGAATGTGTGGTTTGTATTGATAGTGCTCGTTAGAAGGCACCAGATTTCAATTAATATTGTAGAGCATTTTTTTTTTCTTCTTGAAGCTTCCTTGGCACTATGTTGCACATAAGAATTTTATGATTTGCATTCTATAACTTAATTCTGTCAATCTTCATTGGTATGGAGGACCAGCTTTTGTTGGACCAATATATTTATGCAATTTTGTACCTTCCAGTCTCATATCCAGTTTCTATTCTTCCCGGTACCCTTATCTGATTTCTTTCCTCGGTCCATGTCTATTTTTTGTCCTTCGCCTCCTTTCGTCCATGTCTTCACTTGTTTTATTATTCCATCTCTCCTCGCCTACTTCTTTTTCTATTTCCATATTTCATGCCATCTCCTCTTTTCTCAAAATTTCCCTTCTCTTCCTACGTTAGTCTTCCTATATTTACTTTACTTTTCTCTTTCTGTGTTCTCTTTTCATTCCCCCTTTCCATCTACACTGTCCTTCTCTTGGCATTTCCTTTGCCTTCATCTTTCCATTTCCCAAATCTCCCCTCCCTCCTTTCAAAGTATATATTCAACTCAACATCATTCTACCCTTCATGCAGCCATTCCATCTCACTCTCCCATTTACCCTTCCCCAGGTTTCACCTGTTGGTGGTGGTTGTGGTATCCGGTCAGTGACAAGAGGTCTATATACACGTTATTACCATTTCATTCTTCAGCGAACATGGCGTGATGTTTGCCTTTGAATAATGCATGGATGTGATGTCATAACCCTTGCTATTCACACTTAGCCCAATCTCACACAGAATTGCAGAGTAGATGCATAACTCCTGTCACCGGTCTGATACACAAACACCAACAAATGGTGAGAATGAGTGATTTAATATCCAAACGTTAAATAGCTTTGTTATAATATCACTTCAAAGAAACACTATAGTCACCAAAACAACTTTAGCTTAACAAAGCAGTGTTTGTATATAGATCATGTTCATGCAGTCTCACTGCTCATTTTTCTGCCATTTAGGAGTTAAATCACTTTTGTTTCTGTTTATTCAGCCCTGGCCACTTCTCCCCTGGTTAAATGGGAAGAAAAAAAATGGTTTCACTTTTAGTCAGATATAACTTACTTTCAGAGTGTATCTCCTGCTCTGTAAATTGAACTTTAATTACATAGAGGTGGCACCTGCAGGGTCTTGCAAGCTATTAACAGAGCAGGAGATAAGAAAATCTAAATTAAACAGAATTTGCAATAAAGGAAGGATAAACTGTAGATGACTCTTTACAGGAAGTGTTTAGGGAGGCTGTGCAAGTCACATGCAAGGAGGTGTGGCTAGAGCTGCATAAACAGTGATTTAGCTCATAAATGGCAGATAATCTATACACCAAAACTGCTTCAATAAGCTAAAGTTGTTTTAGTGACCATAGTGTCCCTTTAAATTCTCCCCTTAAATTTCTGTATGAAATGCTGCTCTTTAAAATACGACATTGGATACACTACAGAGGAAAGAATTAATTTACAACTACACTAGATACATTTTCTCTGTTTAGTAACAGATTAGTCCATGCATAGCGGATTTTGAATTCCCAGTACTTCACAGATCCCTTTTGTGATCTAGATCTGCAATGTTAACATACTGGCATTCTTCTAGAATACAGGTGCGTTAAAAATAACCAAAAACTGCATCATACTGATATGACGTACCACACCAAATACATTTCCTGTTTTAATCTTGCTGTATTTATAACTGGTTCAAAATGTTCTATAGTAAAGGTACAAATAAGGGCTTCAATGCAGTAACAGTGTCAAATGTTTTTGAGTGTCTCCCTCCCTTTGTAAGCATATACTTATTTTCTACTTCACAGGATGAGAGAGGTAATTCATCAATCCGCGCTGACCTCTTTAGACATTTGTAGATTTATGATCACCATAAAGAGGAAATTAAAATGTTGTGTAACTGGCACACGAAGCTGCATACATTAATCTATTGAATGTTGTATTATCATAGGACTTGGTAGAACTAAAGTGCCAGGTAGCTGTTACGCCAACATTTTACTTACTAGCACTTTTTTTCTTAAAAATATGTTCTTTTGATTTCTGTGGAGAAAAAAAGCCTTGCCTTTAAATACCTTCTAGGCTCCCATTTTGCAGTATACGTTGTGAGACCCTCTACCGGTGCACATTGCTTCTTATTTTTGGTCAAAATGCTGTTGATAAAATGTCCACAACTTTTATTAAGAAACTGGTGTGTGTGTACACTATATATGTTTTCATTGTTTGTTTACCCCAGTAAACATTAAATTGTTTTAAATTTTTCAATGTGTTCAAAACCTCAACACAGTAATTATAATTAATTTTGCGGAGTGGATTAGTCCTTATACAAAACTTCTCCGTGAAGGTGAGTTCTCGCGGAAGCCAATTGGGGTTGCAAAGTCGCAGGCAAACTGTGTGCACTGATGCATGTTCCTTAAAAAGCAGATCCACAGTTAAAATTATCCCACTTTAATAAATTAGTAGCAGCCCGAGGTGCCCAGGCCAGTAACTTTTCAGAAGTCTATTGAAAATGCCATAGTGGACATTATATCAATTGAAAGAAGTAAGCCATACGTAAACTATTAACCAAACACCTTTTTTACATTTGACTCAAATGCTATTATTATGGTGGCAGTTTTGTTTTGTGGTTTGTTTGTGGGGTGTTTTTTTTTGTTTTGTTTTTTATATAGCAGTGAAGTTGTCAACGTGATTTAATGGACTGTAATTTTTTTTTTTTTTTTAAAGCAAATTAGTTTTTTCATAAGAGCAAGATTAGGTTGTTTTTTTTTCTGCAACAAAAACCTCTTTAACTGTAACTTTACAGTACTGTTACTTCACATCACTGCTGTGACTTGTGAAATTACTCTGCATCACCTTTAGTGAGTTTAAAAGTCCTCACAGATAGTTTTTTTTTTTTGTTGTTTTTTTTATCTTTTGTCCGTTTCAAATTACAAAACATGTTCTCGTTTGTTTTTTAGAACACTAAAAAAAAAAAAAAACTTATTTATAAAGATAGAAGTGATATAAATGTAGATCCTCTGTTCCCACAGAGCGTGTTTACATGCAGTTTAAACTACATATTTAATTTTCATTTGAATTGCTCAATTTATAACTTCGTAAAACCATCATGCCAGGAAGCCATGGCTCACAAATCATTGCCTAATGGCACGATACATTTTTTAGTTATGTATTCAGGATCACTGTGGATGTATTCTGATACAATTAGGACAGATTTATTTGGCTAGTAACGAATGCGTCTTTTGAAGTAGGTTTCTTTAAGTATAATTATTTCTTTGTAGTGAAGAGCATTAGATGCAGGGCTTGTTTAAGAGTTCTCCACTTTTTTAAGGCCCAATGGAAACATTGTGGTTGACAAAGTTTGATCAGCATTAAGCGCCAAGAATAATAATTGGTTTACTACTGTCCAGTATCTGTTAATGAACATTATTTTACATGTTGGAGCTAAATCAGAATATTTTATATTTCACAAAACAACTAATATTGAAGCTGGGATAGTGGTGATGGGAAAAAAAATATTATGCGTTTCTAAGTCTTTTGATGGTCTCACATTTTGAATCTGTAAGTTCCCAGATATTTGTAAGAGTTTGATTTATACACTTATCACAATTGTTTGTGTTTCCTGGGGCTTGCAAGTTGCCCTACGTAGGGGTTGCCATTTTTTTTTTTTGCGTTTATCCATTTCAACTGTATGCAATTGTAAATAATACCGTTTTTTGTATTATAATTTGCTGTTACAGAACATATTAAAATGAATACGCTTTTTATTGAATGTTTGACAAAAATGTGGATTATTACAGAAGCACATTCTGAATTATGTATGCAGATTACTCCATGAATTTGGTTTCTTGTCTGAAGTGACTGCAACGTGTCTTTTTTTTTTTTTTTTCTCAAAATGTGGAAATTTAAACCATTATGTTGTTGACCGATCCCATTAATTGCAGATTGTGTCCCCTATCTAGTACCACTTCTGTAATCTTGGTTAATTTATGTTAATGGGAGATATTTTGCCTTTTGACCAACAATTCAATTAGGTGAACAGCAAATAAATTAGGACACAAATATTACACCAAAAACTGACAACTGTTGCCCCATTGTACAGCGCTATGGAATCTGATGACACTATATAAATAATAAAATAATACATGTCCCTCCTCCCGGACAATACATGGTAGAACTTTTGATTGCCATAATTTCATTATAGCTATGAATCATTTTGGTAGGTATCCACAAGGTTTTCATGCATTGGTGTAAGCAATCCTTTCAGGTCGTCTCATGGATTCTCGGCTGGACTAATAGCTGATCTTTTGCCTGCGCTACATCATAAAAGGTTCTAGTTGTTGGTTTAAATCACTCTGTGCAGCTTATGTGGAGTATTTAGAGTCTTAATACTGCTGGACAATGAGTCTGGTTTATAGCATCCTGAAACAGAATTTCCACCAGATTTGTCGTCTTTTTGGCTCCATCAATTCTGACCAATTTCCTGTTGCTACCAATGGAAAGCATCCCACCAGCATACTTTACTGTTGTTTGGAACCCCCACTAAGAACACAAGTGACTCAATGGAGAGAAAGGAAGTGTTGGCCTTACTAAAAAAGTGACCAAGCTGACCATAACCATGGGTAAAACATAACTTATTGAGATTATTTAAAAACAAAAAGACATGAAAGGTGACATAGCAGCGCAAAACCAAAGATAGTGCTTAGGCACAACATCCTGCTGAGGTTTTTAAACACGTGGCCGAACGGTCAGCTGCAGTCTGCCACAGTTAAAGAGCGAATAAGATGCACCAAAACGGACACCGTTAATGGAGAGAACCAAATCAAAGGTTAATGAAAAATATAGAATACAAATAAAATGAAAAAGAGAATTAGGAAGGGAACAATGATTACATACCCCTGGGAAAATGCGTGTTTAGTGAATTCATGTAAAAAAAAAAAAAAACCTGCTAAATTGGCTAAACAGTGAATTATACCTGACTCGCAAACACTAAGGCGCCAAACATTGTAACAACCTTAGACATTAAGAATGCAAATGTAACAAAACATGAATTGATTACTTGTATCAAAGCTTTGCAAGTCTGAAAATGGCATGCCATTCAGGAATTAACATTATGTTCAATAGCTGATATGCTCTCGTATCCTGTCTTTTAAGGGCTTGTAGTTTGGCCAACGTATTGACAGGTCAATAGGTAAACTACAAAGAAGGTTGTACGGTTAATATACTGTTAAATTTAAAGCTTTTGTTTGGTTACTAAGCAACTGAATTTACTAACGAGTTTGATGACTGCACAGGTCTTAAATCTTGAGGCCCCACATTTGTACATACCTAAGTAGGTTTCTTAGTAAAAGTCATCAAACTTGGAGCCAGTTGTTGAAAAAGATTAGGAGCTCATCTGGCAACTGTACGTATTCCTGAATGAGTGACATGCTCAGTTTTACAATCCGCAAACAAGACTGGTAGATCTTTTTTTAATAATGTTGCATATTTTTATATACTGTAATCTGTAACGAACAATGATTTTGTGGCAAATTTTCTAGTTTAGGAAGACCAAGCCTGTGGAAGGGTGGATTTATCGGTTTCCAAAGCATGCTGAAATGCCCTATCAAGAACTGATTCAGAGTAGCCACTCTCACTTAATCTCTGCCTTAAGAAGATTAATTTAACAAAATCTTCCATACAGGAACAAGAGAAGCAAAGTTGCAGGAATTGTCCAATTGGAATGTTCTTTGTCACATGACGTGGATGACAAGAAGAGGGCAACAGTTGATTGTTGCCTAAGCACTCCTTGTGAAATAAACTAGTCTGAATGGAATGATCTTCAGATTTTAATGTTAAAGCCAAAAATGAAACCTCAGTTTGGCTGAAACTAAATGTGAATTTCAGATTCAAATCATTATCATTACAATATTCAATAAAACTATGTAAATAAGTAACAGATCCACCCTAAATGATCAACAGATCATCAATGCAGTGTTTATACAAAATTATATCGGAAATGTGAGCAAAATTACCTGCCAAATAACCTCCCACCACCCCATATAGAGACTGGCATACAAAGGGGCAAATTTAACCCCCATTGAAGTCCCGCATCTTTGGAGGTAATATGTACCATCAGTTTGGCTGAAATTAACAGTAAACTTCATATCGTATGTATGTAAGATTCATATCGTATGAACATGTTGCTTGTTCTGATCTTTCTCAACTGGCTCCAAATTTGGTCAAGTCCTCTACTAAGAAACCTACTTGATTTTACCATGTGTCTATGTACAAATGTGGGGCTTTAATCAGGACTATCTTACTATCACTGGGGCTCTACCTACACAACCACTCACAGAAGTAAAAATGTAAATTATCAATAAAATGAACCTTATATTTATTGGAACCTCCAACTAAATCAGCATTAAAACATTAGAAATCATGATCAGAAATTAACCCACGCAAACATTTAGTAGGTAGCAAGGGAGGCAACCGACATGGAGTGTTAAAAATATTACTTTATTATAGATTTACGGCTTCAAAAAAAATTTGTGTTGGTTTTGTCTTGCTTATGTACAATTCGTACGTTGTTTTCGTCAAGGTCAATATATGTATTCGCAACCGCAAGATCACATTTACAGATGAGCGGAGGTGATCAGTCCACCTAAACATTTTATAAAGAGGGTTTGAAGGTTCTGAATAAATCTTCCACAATATTATACTGAAGAGTTGGCAAGCCTATGGGGCCCCTGTGCTCATGGGGCCCTCAGGCCACTGCCCAGCATGACGTGGCCTCAGGGTATAAGCCTTGTGCAGTCATCAAACTCCGTAGTGAATTCAGTTGCTCAGTAACCAAACAAAAGCTTCAAATATAACAGTATATTAACCGTATAACCTCCTTTGTAGTTTACCTATTGACTAGTCAGTCCTGTTTGATCCAATACGTTGGTCAAACTACAAGTCCATTCAATTACGGAATCCAAGAGCATATCTATGCTATGGAACATAATGATGCTTGTTCTTTATTAGCATGCCATTTTCATACTTGCAATAAGTCTGATTTTTTTCCAAATTGCATGTTCAAGGCATTGAAGGAATTATAATACCATACAGAGGTGGAGACTGCAGGTCCAAATCGGACTATTTTGAAGTTAAATGGATTTTTCAGTGACATAATCATAGACCGCATAATCTAATCAAGTTTAACGTGCCTATTTCTTTCATTTTATTTTCTCGTTTCTCTGGTGTATTGCTACTTGGTACAAGTAATCAATACGTGTTTTGTTACATTTGCATTCTTAATGGCTAAGGTTGTTACAATGTATGGCGCCTTAGTGTTTGTGAGTCAGGTATAATTCACTGTTTAGTTAATTTAGAACTTTGTTGTTTTTTCATGTGTTTACTTAGCATGCATTTTTCCAGGTAAACGTAATAATTTTTCCCTTCCTATTTTGATAGATTTTTTTCATTTTAGTTTTGTATTTTACATTTCTGCATTAACTTTTTATTTTTTTATTTTTTATTCTTTATTTTGTTGTGCTTAAGTATGCAAAGGTCCCCTGCGAAGCCACAACAGCAACGCATGGGTATCAATTGACAAGGAAATGCACACATGGATTGGGTGTAGAGATATGTGGCTATGTAACGTTACATGGCATTCAATATCTTCGCACACTTTTCTTACAAGGCTTAACATCTTAGTAACATTGAGTTTCATCAAGGGGGGAAAACAGATTAATATGTTACAGTAGTGGTATGGTGGTGGATAGGTGAAAACGGCCTGCTGCTACTTATTTAGTGGTTCTGTCTATTAGATATGGCTGAGTGTATGCCCTCTTGGGGTGGCGTCTTGTGGAGGAAAGCTCACACCCGTTTGCTGTTTCGGAGGGTCTGTAAAATGCGTCTTGGTGTTGCCCTCCTGCCTAGTGTTTGTGGTGGTGGTGGTGGGGGGGGGCGGGCATCTCTACCCATTTAGGTTCAGCGCTGCTTTTTGTCAGCTGGTGTGCCTGTTTCAGTGTACCTTTAGGAGGGGTGCGTGTGTGGGGGTTATTTGACTGGCTTGGCCCCTAGGGCCGTGGGAGTGTGACTCCTAAGCCCGTTAAAGGATTCTCCCGGTGTTCGGGTGTAAGGTTATGTGGTTGGCCTTTTGGGCTCGGGACATCCCCATAAGGATGTACGTACCTTTCCGATGGGCGGAGCATTAGGCCTTGGTGCGTGTTGCCCTTAACCTAGCGGGCTACGGGGGTGGGGAAGAGGATTGTAAGGGTTGAATCGCTGAATGAGTTTTTAGTGCATCCCTGACTAAAGTGGATAGTTCAATTTAACTAAAAAAGCATTAGAATACATTTGTAAACAAAGAGAACATTATTGATGATGGGGGTATTCAGTTGTTATCTTGACCCGTGGTTGTATTCCCGGCAATCTTCCGATCTTGATGGGCAGTGTGGACCCCTTGTGTTATGGGTTGAGAGTCCGTGAGCCCCCTGTTCTTGGAACAAATGAGGTGGTGCGGTCCGGGTCCTAAGTTGCCCTGGAGGTTGCTGAAGATGGTCTTTCGTTGTGGGTCAGTCCCAGTACTTTTAAGTATGCTGGTGCCCCCTCTATTGAGGTGAGAGCGTGAGTGGTTCTGTTGTGAGTCGCTATCAGTGTTTCCGGGGCTCCCCATTTGTAGGGAATATCCGCAAATCGCAGTTGTGATGTGACAGTCCCTAGAGACTTGCGCAAAAGGAGTGTGTTTTTCGAGAGGTCCTGGAAGAAAGTCAAGGAAGCACCCTCGAAGGTCAGGGGTGTTTTGGCTCT